GGTAACGAACGATGGTACGAGACACAAAAGAGTTAATCACATTTAATTGCTGGAGTGCTCTAACGATAGCCACTTGTGGTTTTCCAACCAAATATAAAGAAATTACTATCACGCTTGAATTCCATCACGAATAACTTTTTTCCTTGAAAATTCTCACCAAAATGCGTTTGTACGTTTGTAAACAATATAATGAGCTGTCACTGGAATAATTTTAACACCTGTCGGACGAGTGGCTTAGAAATGGCTGAAGTCTAAAGTCTGCTGGATTTTGCCTGTAAGTTTTGAAAAAAGCGAATTTTTTCGCTCATTGTGTTTATAACAACATCGTCACTAATAAAGGGTCCAATGTTAGCTCTTAGTTTAAATATTACCAAATATCCCTGATTGTCGGACATGACCGAAATGTGAGAAATGTGAGAAATTAGATTTAAATCAATTCGGCGGGATCGAACCTCTAATACCTTCCACCATTTGGAGGGAACTTGCAAAATTGAAAAATAGTCCGTTTAAAATGCCGCTATAATTTTCCGTTGTAAAATGTAGCTAGCATCATAAAAATACCAAATATAGGGACGTACCGTTACATGGGGACTGTACGAAGTCGTGGACATGTGTAAGTCATTTTCTGTTATTGGATGTAATATCCGTATCGAACTACGAATATGAAATTTGATGCAATTCCTATGTACAATGTAACACAAGTCGAAATTCCCCATATCGGGGGTAAAGCTATAATAGGACTATACCTAAAATAGGATCTATAGTTCAATAACCTGCTTCATTTCGTTCGCAAGCTAAAAAGATTTCCACAGAGAGAAAAACAGACGGCGTAAATGGCTAAATCGGCATAGAATTTTATGCTGATCGAGGAGTTACAAACGGAATGACAAACTTAATATACCCTCCATACTGTGAATGGTGAAGGGTATAAAAAATTAAAAAATCTATTTATTTTATGAAAAATAACCAAAATCAAAAAAAAAAAAAAAAGTTAAAAAGCAGTAAGTTCGTCCGGGCCGAATACCCTCCACCATTTGGAACGAATTTGAAAATTTTTAAAAAATAAAATCCTTAAAAAATTCTGTTAAAATTTTAAAAATGTCAAATATAGCCATTATACTACGTGGACCAACATAGGCATTATTTGTCATAAGCCATTACCATATTCAAATGAACTTGAAATAAATGGTGAATAATGTAGCTAAAATCATCAAAATATCGTACATAGGGAGGTACCGTTATACCGGAGCTGTGCGAAGGCCTGGACCAGCATAGACAATTTTCTGTCAGAGGCTGTAGCATCCATTACGAACTTCAAATACGACATCTCAAACAATTTAGGTGGGTATTGTACAGGGTTGCCCATATTCGACGGACCCATGACCCTTTGGGCCCATTCCAATCGACGAGGCTTGTCCGCAGGAAACATTCTTTGCGTCAATTGAATTTTGTACGGGAACAAATGCACATCAGTGCGAATAATCCGTTGTAAAGTGGACCGAGCCATGTCCAACTGCTGAGAACGGCGTTTTTGGAATGTTCTTGGGGACCTCTCAACACTGGCTCGTACGGCAGCGATATTCTCGGCCGATCACCTTGGTCGACTTTTATATGGCCTCTTCGGATTAGAAAGAGCCCTACCAGTCGAAAATTTTTCGTACAAACCCTTAATGGTGTTCTTAGAAGGCGCACGTCTCACATATTTTAATGTTTTAAAAGCACGTTGAGTTTTCACAATTGACTTCTTCTGTTGAATGTAAATTTCAACTATTTCAGAGCGCTCGCGTGGCGTGTATTGGTTCATGGTAAAAATCTGCTTGGACTGACGCTTCAAACGCGGTATGTCATTAAGCGATGTGACATCTCTGTCAAAAGTTATGGCGTTGCCAGATGGGTCCGTCGAATATGGGCAACCCTGTACATGTCTGGTCTGGTACATCACCCACAAAAGATCAAAATTATAAAAAAAAAAAAAAAAAGAAAAAAAGAAAGAAAAAAAAAAAACAAGTAAACAAGCTGTAAGTTCGGCCGGCCCGAACTTTGAATACCCTCCACCATTTGGTACAAATTTGACAATTTTCAAAAAAGGAGATCCGTTAAAAATTCTGTTAAAATCTTAAAAATACCGAATGTAGCCGTATTTTAGGGTCTATACGATGACGTGAACCTGCATAGGCAACTTTTGTCACAAGCTATTACGATATGCAAATGCGAAACTTGAAAAATCAGTTTATAATGTAGCTTAAATCATTAAACTCATCAAATACCCATGGTGCCATAGGGGTTATAAAACGCGGACCTGCACAAACAATTTTCTGTCATAGGCTGTAGTATTTATTACGAAATTCAAACACCAAATTTGAAATAGTTCCGGTAAATAATGTCGCTAAATCATCAGAATACCGAATATCAGGTGGTACCGTTATATGGGGGCTATGCGAAGACGTGGACCTGCACAGACAAGTTTCAGTCATAGGCTGTAGTATTCATTACGAATTTCAAATGCTAAATTTGAAATAGGGGCTATACGAAAACGTGGACCTCATGACCCATTTTCTGTCTTATTCTGTAGTATCTATTACGAAACTTCAAATACCAAATTTGAAACATTTCCGGTAAATAATGTCGCTGAAATCATCAAAATATCGCATACTTCATTTCGTTCGGAAGCTAGAGTGATTTCCACAGACGGATATATGGACGGACATGGCTAAATTGACATAGAATATATGTACTTTGTGGGGTCTAAAATGTATATTTCGAGGTGTTACAAATGGAATGACAAACTTAATATAACATCCATACTATGGTGGAGAGTATAAAAAATTAAAAAAATCATTTTTTTGAAAGAATACCAAAAGCTTAATAAAAATTCGAAAGAAAAAATATGCTCTCTATTAAAAATGCTTACTTTTTCCTTGCTAAAGAAAAATTAGAATCACTTTGCGTCAATGTAATGGTAGCATAGTTTATTTTAACCTTGCGCATGTGCAGTAAAACTTGCCATTTTCACTAAAGTTTTCCATTTCCCTAATCTATTTATCTCTTCTATGGAATTCTATCAATTATTTGTATGTACACTGGTGGCCAAAACTAAAGCAACTGAAATTACAAGGAGAATTAATGCCCTGTAACTTTATAAAAATTAAGAAAAGGAGAAAGTTTTTTTTTTTTATAAATTAGGTATTTTATCCACTTTTTAAAAACCTAAAACAAAAAACCAAAGTTCATTTTTATATAAAAATTAATGTATGGAAAAGTCAATTAACCCGATTTTGGCTTGGACAAAACAAAAGCAACTCTGTTGTACATTCATATGACCGCTGCAATTTCAGTTGTTTTTACTGTTATAGTTATCGCTTTTTTGCTTCCTTCGACAATTTCGCTTGTCATAAATCCTTTTTGAGAAGTTTTTTACAACAGCATGTGTTTTTCTTTTCGTTTTTTAAATACTGCCAAAAAAAGTTTAAAAATAGCTAATAGCAAATACAGCACATGAATTAAACAGCAAATTATCAGTGACTATAAAAACAACATATCGCAGAAAATGATTTCCGAGAAATATTTCATAAATATTTCTGTGATTTCATAAATATTTCTGTATACTAAGTCGGTTTTATGAAACTGGATCAGTAGTAACAGTCTATAACGGATGAAGGCCGTGAAAAACTTCAACCCGTACTGATCAACAAATTGTGAGAGAAATAAAAAAAAAAAACACAATTTAAGAGTTCAACTGGATTGGTGAGAGAGCAATCATTGGATATAAGCTAGAGATTAGTGCGTAGACTAATAGTGGTAGCTGGTCTGCATGCCCGTAAGCCATCAAAAAAGCCATTTATATCTAAAAAATCAAAAAGGCTTTCGGAAACGATAATATTAAGTGGAATCCAGCTCAATGGAAAAACATAATTTCTGGGATGAGTCTACGTTTAATATTAAAAGCTCAGACGTAAAAAATTTTACGGTGAGAAGACCAAAAAATGAAAGACTCAAGCCGCAGTGTTGCAAAAGTACAGTGAAGCATGAGGGAGGGTCAAAAATGGCGTGGCGCTGTTTTTCTTTCTATGGACTTGGGCCTTTCCATGAAATAAAGGAAGTTATGGATGGGTTTGTTTACAAAGATGTGTTGGACATCACGTTGTTCCCTTACCCTGAGTAAAATATTCGGCTCATTTGGGAGTTTCAGCATGACAATGATCCCAAACTTGATCAAAACTTGTCAAATATTGGTTGCGGGAGTCAAAAATCGATGTTTTGTCATGGCCGGCACAATCACCTGACCTAAACTCCATAGAAAGCCTTTGGAGTATCGTAGACAGAAAGATCAAGCGAGATTCGGAAACAAAGAATTCGGGGTGCCTGGGAAAGCATACCCAAGGATCAAATTGGGCGTGTTACAGATTCTATGCCTCGTAGGTGTGCAGCTGCTATCAAAAATAATGGATGCTATCGACTACTAGCCAAAATTTAATTATTTTAAAATAAAAAATCTAAAAGTTGCTTTAGTTTTGACCAAGCAAAAATTAGGTCATTTTAGTTTTCCATATATTATTTTTCGTTCAAAATTATTTTTGGATTTTTATTTTTAGTTTCTTAAAAGTGAGTTAAAGACCTCATTTAAAAGTGGAAAAATAATTACGTTTTGTTTATTTTTGTAAAAGTTACAGGACATTTATTGTCTTTGCGATTTTAGTTGCTTTAGTTTTGGCCACCAGTGTATATATTTAATACTTATCTTAAGCCACTAACAAATTATTAGCCTTACGTGCATGTGTATATATGTTTTACATTTTTATTTTATGAATATTATATACCATAAATCTAGAATTTTTTGAAATGTTCAAATTAAATATTCCCAATATTTTTAGCCAAAAAATAATCCGAATAGTGATTGTGAATATTTACAATAGCAATAAACTCGTGTTTATATAAAATTTCCAATTCCACTTCCACTTTTTTTTAATTTTCCATTTCGATTTATTTTTTCTCTCTTGCAGCTGCATCTGAATGTTCCAATGAACGCCTGAGACCGTACAATGGTTCTTGTTATTTATTCGTTTCATATCCGGAAGTCGATTGGAATACGGCACAGCAGGTGTGTCGTGCCATGGGTGCCTCGTTGACCTCAGTGTCATCGGCAGATGAACACAGGTGAGTGATGCGAATGCAATGCATTCGTTTTTTAAAAAGGAAGTGTAAATTTAAAGTGAATTGTTATGTTATACCTTTTGGAAACAAGAGAAGGGCACATATGAAGAAAATTTTGGAAATTGTATTGAAATAACGATTCATTGCAAACATTTATTGGAAATAAAATTCAATATTTAAGTAGTTATGAGTTAAAATATATAGTTCAATTAAATCAGTTTTAAAATATTGTCATCATTTTTAAACGAAATATTTTTTTCTATTTCATATTTCTTTATTTTTCAAATCCTCCATGACATCATATGAATGTGTTCCTTTTTTTGGCCTCCAACAATATCCTTGGTTATCTACCTTAGATTTATAACATCCAATATCCGCAATCAAATTGACTATTCACCACAATTGATTTATTGGTTGGGTGCTGAACTGGAGAAAAATCGTCAATTCGAATGGACAGATGACACAGAGATGACATTTCAGGTAAGTTTGGCAACAAAAAATTTAAACAACTAGAAACGACAAGTAGTAAAGTCTCTTGAAAAGTTAGATGGTGGAAATTGTTTAAAAGAAACAATTCATTTTTTATGGAGTTTTATTTATAGCTTAAAGTAAAAAATTTTATTTTAGAATATTGAAATTTGTATATGTCCATTACCATCGATACGAAAGATAAGAAATAATGGATGTTTTTAGAAATATGTCCTATCAGGTATTGCATTTTATATTAGAGCAAATATTTGGTATATAAAAAAAATCAGAAATTTAAAAAAAAAAAACAGTAAAGAAAGTCTTAAAGTCGAGCGGGGCCGACTTTATGACACCCTACACCACTTTGCTAATTTAGTAGAGCTGCGCACAACAATTAAAAGTTTCTATGGGAGAATTCAATCATACAAGCTATGATTATAATTAAAATTTAGAGTTCAAAGGACTAAATATGCCGAAGCACTTGTATCTTTTAAATTCGGACTTGTGTTGCCCATTTGGTGCACAATTAATTTGAAATCGGATAAAGATATATATGGGAGCTATACCCAAATTTTAACCGATCTTGATAAAATTCGGCAATGTATTTCTGAGCTGTTTTTGACATATTTCCCCGAATATCGTTACTACGGGGTGCATATTGCGGCTGTGCAGGACAAATTAAACAAATCGGTTGAACTATATATATGGGAGCTGTAGCTATATCTGAACCGATTTTCACCAAATTTGACATACTCGTTTCTAGACTCAATCGTAAGTGCCAAACAATAAAAGGCAAATCGGATGAAGATATATATGGAAGCTATATCCAAATCTGAACCGATCTCGATGAAATTTAGCAAAGGTATTTTTGAGTTGTATTTGGTATTTTTCCCCAAATATCGTTGTTGCAGAGTGCATATCACGGCTGCGGAGGACGAAAATAACAAATCGGATGAACAATATATATGGGAGCTATAGCTTTATTTGAACCGATTTCGATAAAATTTGGCATAATTATTTTCAGGCCTAATCTGGTCGTATGTGCAGAATTTCATAATATTTGGGCTAATATTACACGTTTGGTGCACAATAAATGGCAAATCGGACGAAGGTATATATGGGAGCTGTATCTAAATTTTGACGGATTATCTCCAATTTCAATAGGGGTTGTCCTTGGGACAAACAATTATTTCTGCAAAATTTCATCTGAATCGGACAATAAATGCGACCTGTACATTGTTTACAAAAATACATGGTCAGACGAAGTGATTCTATGCAGATCATCAAAAGGAACTATGGATCTATCTCGTTTCCTTTTGCCTGTTACAAACAAATGCAAAAGGACATAATACCCTGATCACCTTGTGGTGTAGGGTATAAAGAGGTAGTAAGTTCGGCTGGGCCGATCTTTGAATACCCTCCATCAAATGGAACAAATTTGTAAATTAAAAAAAATATATATTAGAATATTATATGTAGAATACAACATGCAGGGAGTTACCGTTATATTGGGGTCCATATGAAAATGTGAATGGGCATACGCAATTTTTGTCATAGGCATTATAGTATTCAAATACGAAACTTGAAAAAATTCCGCTGAATAATGTCGCTGAAATCAGCAAAATACTAAATACAGGGAGACACCGTTATATGGGGGCTATACGAAGACCTGGACTTGCATATACAATACCAGTAGTACCCAGTACTAAGTGCAAATACGCAATTTTAAGCCATTCCGGTGAATAATGTGGCTGAAATCATCAAAATTCCGAATATAGGCAGGTACCAACATAGGAATGCTATATGAAGACCTGGTCCTGCAAAGGCAATTTGTAGGCATGGGCTCTAGTATCTATTACAAACTTCGAATACGAAATTGGAAACAATGTCGCTAAAATCATCAAATTACAGAAAATAGGAAGGTACTGTTATATGGGGGCTATACCTAAACGCGAACCTATACAGCCCATTTTCAATACCAAAAGTTCTGCAGACCAAATACACATTTGAGTAAAATTGTATCACTCTACTTCACTTCGTTCGGAAGCTAGGGTGATTTCCACAGACAGACAGACGGACAGACATCGCTAAATCGTCATAGACTTTCATGCTTTCAACATTCATGTATCATTTGAAACAGAATAAAATATGAACTCAAAGCTAACTCAAAGTATCATCAACGGCCAGGTAGCTCTTTATGGGTAGTTTGTCAATAAGCCGGGATTTTTGGAAATTCGTACTAAAATGTATTGAATAGTAAAATTTGTTTTTATACCCTCCACCTTGAAAAGGAGGGTATATTAACTTTGTCAATCGGTTTGTAACATCCCTAATGGTCGTACCATTATAAGTTTATTTAACGATGTCTGCCCGCCAGTCTGTCGAAATCACGATACAGCCCACATTATTTGACGTAGAGCTTCAAAATTTGACATAAGAATTTGTATTGTGTCTAGGATGATTGGCATTGGCATTTCGGTCCACGTTTTGGTATAGCCCCCATATGACGGTATCTCCTGATATTTGATATTTGGATGATTTTTGCCAGATTTTTCCACCGAATTGTCTAAAAAATGGTATTTGTAGTTCATAATGGGTTCCAGTTCCGGTGGCGAAAAATTGTACATAATGGTATCTCCCGATATTCGATAAAATTGGCATTTGTAGTTCGTAATGGGTTCTAGCTCCGGTTTCGGAACATTGTACATATATGTCCACATACCAAAGGTGGAACCTATATTGATAAAAGTTTGCAAACAGCTTTGCCAACAATAAGAACTCAAAATTACAGAATTTGGCCTTAACTCGGGAAAAGTCCGAAGAAAAAATAGATAAAAAACGAGTAAAGTAAGATCAAAAGTCGGGCGGGCCGACTATATTATTCATACATATAGGAACTATAGCTAGCTATTTTTGAACCGATTTGCACCAAATTTGACGTACTTGCTGAATTCGGTTGGATGTGCCAAAATTGGACTCATATTGGTCATTTGGTGAACAATTAACCCAAAATCGGTAGAAGATATGTGGGAGATACATCTAAATCTATTCCGATTATAACCAATTGATAATAAATGCGACTTGCATTTTTTTCGCAAAAATACATGGCCTATCTGGCTTTCTTCTCCATGTTATAAACAAATGCACCCCTACCACCATGTGGTGTAGGGTAAAAAAGGAATAGATGACCCGTTATAATTCAAACTAGGCAAATCGTTATATTTAGATGAGACTTAAGTCAGGTGGGAAAAGCAGACTCCCCCACAGAAGTTCAAACTCTTGAATGAAACTTCGCAATTTTGACGCAAAAAACGAAAAAAAAATCAAATTGAGCGAATGGAGTACCCGATGAATACTTGACACTTGGAAATATTTTTATAAGACTTAGTTCAGGTGCGAAAATGGACAAAATTGGTCCAGTGCTTCTGGTAACTTTCACTCCAGAAATCAATAGTTTGAACAATACTTTAACTCCTTTGCGAAACCAAAGTTGGAAGGCCTTTATGGAAAGTTTGTCTATATGGCGTAATTTTTGGAGATTCGTACTAAACGGTACTAAATACTAAAATATGTTTTATGGGCTCTACAGCCTTTGGCCTAGAGTCTCTCAATTTCATTGAATCACATTCCGAACCGATTTATATTTATAGGTCCGTCCATGTGCTTTTGGAAACAAAGTACAGGTTACATTTATTTTCCGATTGAGATGACATTTTCCACAAATCATTTGTTTGGCCCAGAAATGAACCCTATTGAAATTAGTGATAATCGGTCCAAATTGAGTTAAAGCTCCCATACATATCTTTATACGATTTCAGGTTAATTGTGCACCAAATAGTTAATATCAGCACAAATCGAGTGGATTTTCGTACGTTCGGCCGAATTCAGCATAGAAACAAGTACTAGCAATAGCTCCCTTATAAATGTTTAATCCGATTTGATGTGTCCCACATTCGCAATATGCACATATATATTTGGTTCAGATATAGCTCACTCAGAAATGCTCACTCTGTAGATTGCTTCAGATTTGGACACACATTCATATGACATTGGTATGATCTACTTTACAGAAATTCCCAATATAAACAGTTTTGATACGGGAGCTCTGCTCTACTTTTGACCTTTTCTTACTTGTTTCATGCCTAGAATTAAATAAATTAAAGAGCATGTGGAGACAAGACGGGGCCACATGTCATACCGCCAGAGAACAAACTCAATTGCTGTATTAGTAATTTTCCGGTAGGGATATTTTGCGTTTTGGAGACCAGAATTGACCGCCTAGATAGTGCGATTTAACACCTTTAGATTTTTTCTATCTTTTTGTTTTTAATATCTTTGTTTTAGAACAGTGTTGGCTTCTTTGTTCAGGATACCATAGTATTTTGTTGTTGCAAAATGGTCAGGCTTAATCCCTATATTGTTGTTTTTATAAAAACTACAAGAAAGTGATTAAGCCTGACCATTTTGCAACAACAAAATATTTTTGTTTTATTTAAAAATTGTGTTCTAGTTGGGCAGGTATATTCTAATTTTTGATCAGTATTGCATAAAATTAGATCAGCCCTTGTTCGAGTTGATGCATGGAAGTTGAATAAACTGTCGCCTGACGCAGGCCGCTTTCTTGTATCGCTTGAGGGTTAAAATTGTTATCTAAGATAAACCTCGAATTGTTATCAGAAATATTGGAGAATACACTATATTCCTAAAGTATATGGATTTCAAAGAATCCTTGTCCGGTCACTTAAAAAGAAAAATGGAAGAGGGCCAACCTAGCCCCATTTCAGATTACTTTGTAAAGTGAACTTTCAAACACTAAACCAAGTGTCTTCTATTTTTAGCTCTATTCTACTGTTGGATATTTCCGATTTTGTTTCACAATGTTTTGAGGTTTTCCGCTCCTCGCTGCATTTTAAATCACCATTTAAACTAAAGCTTTACCAAACTTGACCCCATTTAATTTATTTTGTTATAAAATATTCATTTGATTCATTCATACATATTGCTCTCATACCTAATTTGTTTTATTTTTGTTTCTATTTTTGCTCTCTGTTTTCACAGGGCTGGTTACCTGGCCAGGGTCAGTTCGATACACTGCCCCCGGATGCCATGTGTTTGGGATTGCAATGGAAAATGTCACCCACTCCAATGCTGCCGTCCGGTCTGTATTGGCAATCACAAAAATGCACAAAAGTTGGTGGCTATGTGTGTAAGAAGCCCAAAGAACCGTTTGGAAGTTTGGCTTTCAGTAATTTCACAATAACTGGAACGGAAGGACGTCTTGTGTCACCAGGTAAGTGTAGGTAGTAGTAGCATGGCTCGAACATATATATATATGTCCACATATTTACAGTGCTGATAGTGTAGTGTAGTGAGTGTGTCAAAAGCATTTCCTTGACAAGACCTAAAGATGGATTACCTTGCATGGACTGCATATTTACACATACACTCAACCACAAATCAAGTAAGCGGGCTCGGGCTTCTGTGTGTGATTGATTTCATGTTGGAAGGTCAGATGACCGACCATACATGCATGCATGTATGTGTGTGTGTGTGTGTGTGTCACTGATATTTCAATATAAATTCTAAATCCCTTAATACACAGTCTCGTTTGTCTGTCGTTGTGCGGTCAGAACGTAATGAATGAGGGCTTATTGGGCTATGAAAACAAATACAAGGATCTTCATGTTGTAATACGTTTTGTATGGCATTCGCATTAGTTGACACACTTTCGATTTAAGTAAACCATACTCTTGGTTTTAGCAGCAGCATGACATTAAAATAAAATTACCACTCGAATTAGATTAAATTCTGCATTTTGAGATTTTGTTAAGCGGGCATCTTCTGGGTTAAAATGAATATATTTATGACCAACGACAGAAGTGAGTCTGGGCCGATAATAAAATGATATTGAGTAGAGGCGCATTCTTTTTGTTTGCATTGTGTAGGTGTATAATATCGAAGGAGTTATATGTGTATATAAGTCTCTAGCGATGGGAAAATATGAAATTTGATAGAACATATATACAGCCACATTACAAGGTTGTACAGGGTTGCCCATATTCGACGGACCTTTGGGCCCATTCCAATCGACGAGGCTTGTCCGCAGGCAACATTCTTTGCGTCAATTGAATTTTGTACGGGAACAAATGCAAATCAATGCGAATAATCGGCAGCGATATTCTCGGCCGATCGCCTTGGTCGACTTTTATATGGCCTCTTCGGATTAGAAAGAGCCTTACCAGTCGAAAATTTTTCGTATAAACACCATTAAGTTCTTAGAAGGCGCACTTCTCACATTTTTTTTCACAATTGACTTCTTCTGCTGAATGTAAATTTCAACTATTTCAGAGCGCTCGCGTGGCGTGTATTGGTTCATGGTAAAAATCTGCTGGGACTGACGCTTCAAACGCGGTATGTCATTAAGCGATGTGACATCTCTGTTAAGAAGTTATGGCCGTGCCAGATGGGTCCGTCGAATATGGGCAACCCTGCATATGATGATACATTACCCCTAGGCAGTATAAATGACCAATTATCTAAAAAATATATAATGAAGCCATGCCTGAATCTGCTGATCTAAAGAAAAACGATGGTGGGGCTTTAAAAAAATTGTAAAAAAAAACTACTGCTCTGTAATTATTTCTAAACGTATTTTAAAAAAATTGGCAGTTTTCCTTCGGACAAAGCTATCATATGCTAAAATCCATCATCTTTTGTTCAGATATTAAAGATTTGGTGCACAATAAACCTGACATCGAAAAAAAAGTTATACATACGAACTATACATATTCTGAACCTCTTATTTCCTACTGGCTTCGTATTTTGAGTAAAACAAATGAACTGTTCATAAATCCGACTCAATTGGACCGTAAAAGTGACTAACGACGTATAGTGTTTTGAAATCGTCCGAAAAGTCTTAAATGCGTTGGCTGACTAATTCACTGACTGACTGACTGCTCTGTCTATACCCAGCATGGCATCAATTGTATTGGACGAATATACAGGGTGAGTTGAAAAAACTGCAACCAAATTCAAAATGCTGTCATTTCTAAGCCACAAGTCCGCCAGCTGCTAAAATTATTCCAGTGACAGATCATTATATTTTTTACAAGCGTACAAAAGCATTTTGGTGAGAATTTTCCAGAAAAAAAGTTATTCGTGATGGAATTCAAGCCTGATAGTGGTATTTCTTTGTATTTGGCTGGAAAACCACAAGTGGCTGTCGTCAGAGCACTCCAGCATTTTAATGTAAATAAATCGTTTGTGTCTCGTACCATCGCTCATTACCGTGATACTGGTATCGTAGCCCAACGTCAAGGAAGTGGTCGAAAGAAAACAGCAAAATCAGCAGAAATGGTTCAAAAAATAAAGAAGCGACTTGATCGAAACCAGCGTCGCAGTGGACGAAAAATGGCTCGTGAACTGAACATTTCGCAATATTCTATTCGGCAAATATTGAAAAATGAGCATTGCAATTTCAAAAAGTGGAAGAACTTACACCGCAACAGAAAGAAAAGAGACTCAAAAGAGCAAAAGAGTTGCTTCGCTTGACCGAATGTGGTGAACTCCCGAATTTGGTTTTCTCCGATGAGAAAACATTCGTTGTCCAGCAGTTTGTAAACGAACAAAATTATCATGTTTACTTGTCAGAGAGGTCAGCTGAAAATGTGCACCTTCGTTTGTTCACCAGTACTCAAACGCCGGCCATGGTGATGGTGTGGGCCGTTATAAATGCCGATGGTCGATCTCCGCTCATATTAATTAACCATGGCATCAGAATAAATGCCGAATATTATCGCGAAAATATTTTGGAGGGTGTATTAAAGCCTTGGGCACACAAACATTTTGGCTGCAGACCTTGGACATTCCAACCGGACTCCGCACCATCGCACTCAGCACACGCTACCCAAGAATGGTTACAAAATGAGGTTCCTCGCTTCATTTCCAGCGCATAATGGCCACCAGAATATCCAGATACCAATCAGTTGGAACTATATCAAACTCTGAATCAATTTTTAATAAATTTGACTCAGGCTTTTGTACCTCTAGGACAAAAATGGTAATGGTAACCCTACGACCAAATTGGTAAAGTGGATAATATGACTTCGATAAGGATTATATTAAGAAACATTACCGGACCGAATTTTACCAAATATCAGAGTGAGATAAAAACTGCAATAAAGTCAAATGCATAATTTTTACTTTTTTTAATTTTATTGAATGAAAGCAAAAAAAAACCAGTAAGGAAAGCTCAAAAGTCGGGCGGGGCCGACTATATGATACCCTACACCACTATGCATATTTAGTAGAGCTCTCGTAAAAAGGTTTATACAGGGCATTTCAGAGCTCTATGAGATATTTGGTACAAAATAAAAATCTATCGTGCATTTTACGAACTATAGCAATCTTTGAACCGGGTTTCTCCAAATTTGACGTATTAGCTTCTAGACTGAATTCGGTCTTATGTACGAAAATTCAGGTGATTTGGGCTGATATTGGCCATTTGTTGCACAATTAACACGAAATCGGATGAAGATACATATGGGTGCTATATCCAAATCTGAACAGATTTTGATAAAATTAAAATCGACTATTTTTGGGCTTTATCTGATATCTGGTACCAAATATCATTCCTGTGAAGAGTATATTACGAATGTAAGGGACTTAAAGAGCAAATCGGATGAAACATATATATGGGAGCTAGAGCTATATCTGAACCGATTTTTACTAAAATTTGTGTACTTGCTTATAAGCTGGTTTCGGTCGGATTTGCCAAAATTCATGCCATTTGGGCTGATATTGGCCATTCGATGCACAATTAACACGAAATCGGATGAAGATATATATGGGTGCTATATCCAAATCTGAACAGATTTTGATAAAATTAAAATCGACTATTTTTGGGCTTTATCTGATATCTGGTACCAAATATCATTCCTGTGAAGAGTATATTACGAATGTAAGGGACTTAAAGAGCAAATCGGATGAAACATATATGGGAGCTAGAGCTATATCTGAACCGATTTTTACTAAAATTTGTGTACTTGCTTATAAGCTGGTTTCGGACGGATTTGCCAAAATTCATGCCATTTGGGCTGATATTGGCCATTCGATGCACAATTAACACGAAATCGGATGAAGATATATATGGGTGCTATATCCAAATCTGAACAGATTTTGATAAAATTAAAATCGACTATTTTTGGGCTTTATCTGATATCTGGTACCAAATATCATTCCTGTGAAGAGTATATTACGAATGTAAGGGACTTAAAGAGCAAATCGTTTCATCCTAGAGCTATATCTGAACCGATTTTTACTAAAATTTGTGTACTTGCTTATAGGCTGGTTTCGGTCGGATTTGCCAAAATTCATGCCATTTGGGCTGATATTGGCCATTCGATGCACAATTAACACGAAATCGGATGAAGATATATATGGGAGGCAAAATTTAAAACAGCTATTCATGTGCTCCATCTAATACTTGGTACCAAATATCACGGTCGTGGAGTGAATATTACGAATGTAAGGGACTAAAACACTAAATCGGATGAAAGATATATATGGTTGCTATATCTATATCTGAACCGATTTTCACTAAATTTGATATACTTGCTTCTAGGCTGAATTTGGTCCGAAGTACTAAAATTCAGTCAATTTGGACTTATATCGGCCATTTGGTTCACAATTAACCCGAAATCGGATGAAGATATTGGCCATTCGATGCACAATTAACACGAAATCGGATGAAGATATATATGGGAGGCATATCCAAATCGGAACAGATTTTAATAAAATTAAAATCAACTATTTTTGGGCTTTATCTGATATCTGGTACCAAATATCATTCCTGTGGAGTGCATATTACGAATGTGAGGGACTTAAAGACCAAATCGGATGAAAGATATATATGGGAGCTATAGCTATATCTGAACCGATTTTTACTAAAATTGGTGTACTTGCTTCTAAGCTGGTTTCGGTCGGATTTGCCAAAATTGATGCTATTACGGCCATTTGGTGGTCAATCACCCGAAATCGGATGAAGATATATATGGGAGCTATATCCAAATCTGAACCGATTTCTGTAAAATTTAAAACAGCTATTCCTGTGCTCCATCTAATACCTGGTACCCAATATCACGGTTGTGGAGTGAATATTACGAATGTAAGGGACTAAAACACTAAATCGGATGAAACATATATATGGTTGCTTTATCTATATCTGAACCGATTTTCACTAAATTTGATATACTTGCTTCTAGGCTGAATTTGGTCCGAAGTACTAAAATTCAGTCAATTTGGACTTATATCGGCCATTTGGTTCACAATTAACCCGAAATCGGATGAAGATATATATGGGAGCTATATCCAAATCTGAACCGATTTCGATAAAATTACAAACAGCTATTTCTGGGCTGTATCTTTTATCTGGTACCAAATATCATTCTTGTGGAGTGCATATTACGAATGTGAGAGGCTTAAACACCAAATCGGATAAAACATATATATGGGAGCTATAGCTGTTTCTGAACCGATTTTCTCCAAATTTGTTGTATTTGCTTTAAGGCTAATCTCGGTCACATGTGCCAAAATTCGGGCCATTTGGGCTGATATTGGCCATTTGGTGGTCAATTAACCCGAAATCGGATGAAGATATATATGGGAGCTATATCCAAATCTGAACCGATTTCGATAAAATTACAAACAGCTATTTCTGGGCTGTATCTTTTATCTGGTACCAAATATCATTCTTGTGGAGTGCATATTACGAATGTGAGAGGCTTAAACACCAAATCGGATAAAACATATATATGGGAGCTATAGCTGTTTCTGAACCGATTTTCTCCAAATTTGTTGTATTTGCTTTAAGGCTAATCTCGGTCACATGTGCCAAAATTCGGGCCATTTGGGCTGATATTGGCCATTTGGTGGTCAATTAACCCGAAATCGGATGAAGATATATATGGGAGCTATATCCAAATCTGAACCGATTTCGATAAAATTTAAAACAGCTATTTCTGTGCTCCATCTAATACCTGGTACCAAATATCACGGTTGTGGAGTGCATAGTAGGAATGTGAGGGACTTAAAGATCAAATCGGATGAAAGATATATATGGGAGCTATAGCTATATCTGAACCGATTTTCTCCAAATTTGATATACTTGCTTCTAGGCCGAACTCGGTTGGGTGTGCCAAAATTCAGGTAATTTGGACTGATAGTGGACATTTGGTGCACATTTAACCCGAAATCGGATGAAGATATATATGGGAGCTATATCCAAATCTGAACCGATTTCGATAAAATTTAAAACAGCTATTTCTGTGCTCCATCTAATACCTGGTACCAAATATCACGGTTGTGGAGTGCATAGTAGGAATGTGAGGGACTTAAAGATCAAATCGGATGAAAGATATATATGGGAGCTATAGCTATATCTGAACCGATTTTCTCCAAATTTGATATACTTGCTTCTAGGCCGAACTCGGTTGGGTGTGCCAAAATTCAGGTAATTTGGACTGATAGTGGACATTTGGTGCACATTTAACCCGAAATCGGATGAAGATATATATGGGAGCTATATCTAAATTTGATCCGATTCTCACCAATTTCAATAGGGTTCGTCCTTGGGCCAAAAAAATATTGTTTGGAAAATTTCATCTCAATCGGATAATAAATGCGACCTGCATTTTGTTCACAAGAATACATGGACAGACGGACGGACGGACGGACAGACGGACTGACATGCATAAATCGACTCAGAAAGTGATTCTATGAAGGTTCTCAAAAGTAACTATGGGTCTATCTCGTTTCCTTCTCCATGTTACAAACAAATGCACAAAGACATAATACCCTTACCACTATGTGGTGTAGGGTATAAAAATCGGAAATGGCAACAAATTTTAGAATAAGTTTGTATGCGGATATTTTTGTGGATATTGTGCGCTGTCCATGAACCTTATTTTGTAACCAATCTTGGGTGGCGCGTACTGAATGCGATGGTGCTGAGTCCTGTTGGAATGTCCAAGGTCTGCGGCCAAAATGTTTGCGTGCCCAAGGCTTTAATACACCCTCCATAATATTTTCGCGATAATATTCGGCATTTATTCTGATGCCACGGCCGATTAATACGAGCGGAGAGCGACCATCTGGTGCTATGGTGGCCCACACCATCACCATGGCCAGCGCTTGAGTTCCGGTGGCCAGGTGCACATTTTCAGCTGACCTCTTTAGCACGCTAGAATTCTATCACGAATAGCTTTTTTTCTAAAATATTCTTCTGTCGGACGAGTGGCTTAAAAATTACAGCACACGGATGAAACGTATATATGGGAGCTATAGCTTAACCAATTTTCACCATAATTTAAAGTACTTGCTTCTGGACTGAATTGCTTCGGAAGTGTCAAAATTCAGTCCATTTGGGCTGATATTAGACATATGTTGCACAAAAAAACCTGAAATCGGATAAATATATATAGGGGAGCTATATCCAAATCTGAAACGATCTTAACAAAATTTTAACGCATATTTCTGAGCTGTATCTGGCACTGGGTGCCAAACATTATTGTTGTGGAGTGCATATTACAAATGTCAGGGACTTTAATGCCAAATCGGATGAAACATATATATGGGAGCTATAGCTATATCTGAAACGATTTTCGTCAAATTTGAAGTACTAGTCAGTCGGAATTGCTAAAATTCGATCCATTTGGGCTGATATTAGCTATTTGGTGAAATATATGTGTGAGCTATATCCTTATCTGATCCGATCTGCATAAAATTTGAGAGAGGTCTTTTTGAGCTCCATAAATTATCTGGTTCCAAATATCATTTTTGTGGAGTGCATACTACGCATGTGTGGGGCTTAAAGACCCAAATCGGATGAAACATATATGGAAGCTATAGCTATATCTGAACCTATTTTTACCAAATTTAATTTACTTGCTTCTATTTTGAATTCGGTACAGGTCATTTGGACTTATATTAGCCATTTGGTGCACAATTAACCCGAAATCAGTAGAAAAAATGCTATGTATAAATTTAAACCGATTCTCACCAATTTAAATAGGGTTCGTCCTTTTGCCAAACATTTATTGTTTGGAAAATTTCATCTCAATCCGATAATGAAAGCGACCTGCATGTTGTTCACAAAATACATGGACGGACAGACGGACTGACAAGCATAAATCGATCCAGAAAGTGATTCTGTGAAGATCCTCCATTCGGCACATGGGTCTTTCTCGCCTCCTTTTTTATGATACAAACAAATGCACAAAGCCATAGTACCCTTACCACTATGAGGTGTAGGGTATACAAACTATCAACTTCAATCTTTTGACAATTCCGTTAAAAAATATGTCTATATTTTCTTAAATAGCTAAAATGGCAAAGCTTTATAGCTTGTGCTATACTAAAAATGGACCGCTTTAGCACTTCATACAATTGATCTGCGTTCAAATAAGGACAAAAGCAAAATAATATGTTCTATTTATTTGTAGCTAATTGAATATAAAAATGTTGATATTCAGGTTGAGGACCTGACTCATTTAACTGGTTGATGGTCGATTTGATCGTCGATGACGGTGAACTTGCTGCATAGATTTTTGGTTACTAGAGACCAATTTGTGTGCGATATGCAGATTTCCGTTAATTTCACTATCACTACAATTTGCGACTATATTTTTGGTTTTTGTGCGGATTTTTCAAACCTCTACAAAATCATATCACTTTCTAAAATTGTTATCCAATAAAATGTCTCTTTTATTCACCCTCTTCTTTCAGCCTATCCGAATACATATCCATTGAACATAAACTATTGGGTGCATATAAAAGCACCGGAGCGCACTCGGATTATAGTTCAATTTCAAAAAATCGATTTAGAGTCGCAAGATGAATGCCTTTACGACTTCGTAAGCATACAGGATTATGACATTGTATCGAAGATACAACTCGAACCTGGTGCGAATACCGTGCCAATGGCCATGTTAATGTCACACGAACAATTTGCAGCTTACGAAGGCGAAGGCGATACCAACAAAGGCAACAATGAAAACGATGGTGATAATGATGACTTTGTTCCCAATGGAGGTGGTGGCGGGGCACGGGTCGGTAACGATGATGATATAACAACTGCTGCACTTGAAGAGGCCAATGAGTATAACAAGAGTGGGGATATGTCCAGTGGTGATGATGATGATGATAACAATGGTGTCGATAACGAAACCACCCTGAGGGATGGTGAGGTGGACAATAGAAGAAATAAACAGCAACAACAACAACAGCGTGATAAACGAAGATTACGACGAAGTATTGAACGAAATCCACACACAAAAGGATACACTGCCAAAATGCAAGGACATAGCCAATATTATTATGGAGGCCATGGCGAAAGGAAAGCAACCGGGTTTGGAAAACGAAAGAATGAGGAAATGCAATTTCACCAGCAAACTGCTGACAAACTTCGTACAAAGGGAAATTCACGAAAAGTGTCAAAAAATCATTTGAATGTCAACAGAAGAACTGACATGTCCACTGGCCGAGACAGCAGCAGCAGGAAAAAACATCGCATAACTCGTAGAGAAATGAAAAAGAGCCCCAGACGGGAGATCCGTGCAGCGAATTTTTTTCATCTACCCCTACCTCGTCATAAACGGAAAGCAATAAAAATGAAAAGCAATAATAATGGCGCCTACAAAGCCCGTCAACGCCGTAGCACAATAATTGGCAGTGGTACTCGGTCGCCAACAGATAATGCTCAAACCTTCTTGCCCTATGTTCGTTGGTGTGGCACCCACGATGCGAACATGTCCAAATTTGATTTTGTCTCAAGCAGCAATGAGGTTATGTTGAATTTTCACAGTGATTACAGTATGGCCAGCATGGGCTTTGCTGCCATTTGGAAGGCGATCGATGTCTCGGGATGTCCATTGCGAACACTCACATCACGAGAGGGCACAATATCAAGTCCAAATTTTCCATATTTTTTGCTGAACAATCTTAATTGTGCCTTTGTTATACAAGCCCCGTTGGGAAAACGTGTCTGGTTAGAAATTAAGGAGTATGATTTTGTTCAAGATGCAATGTTGGAAGTGGATTTGGGTAATGGTGTCTTTCGCCCTTTTCAAAATGCCGATCATGTTAACGACGGAATGTTTGTCAGTTTGAGAGAACAGCTGCGAGTGCAGTTTCGCACGGGTCAACATCCGAGAGGGAGAGGATTTCAAGCCATCTATCATACGGGTAAGTGGAAAGTATTTTCTAACAATTGCAATGTAGAAAATGTAAAACGAAATACAAATGGCTTCTAAACTTAGTCGAAAATCGAAAAATAGTTTGCGGCACAAAATTGGAATATCTTATTAATTTCACCTCTTTGTTTATAATTGTAAACCCTCTGGAGTTAAAATATGTCCTATCTGAATTACGGTTCTTTACCCCATGTCTCTTGACACGAAATTTGTTCCAGCACATTTGATATTGATCTAGTCATGTTCCCTTCGCGTCCATTTGTCGACTTTGTAATAACCCTCGAAGAGTGTATGCGATTATGTTCAAATTTTGCACAATGTCGACACATCTCTTTTCTTCTCCTCTTTTAAATCTTTTACAAATAATTAACATTTAAAAGCACATATCGAAGAATTTGGGTCACATTAGGTGCATGCACGGATATGGACAACACCGGCACACTATTTGTGGTAACACCCTCAAAAAAGAAAAACTTTTTAATGCTCTATGACAAATTGCTATAATCTTCAAATTTGGCTTGTGGGAAGATTTTATACTCTCAACCATACGGTTAAATCTGATACGATCAGAACGTACCTCATCGAAATAACAGTTTTAGGCCCTAGGTCTCTTTGGACCAAATTATTATCGAACGACTCTACTACAAATCCCCCCACAAAAAGGTAAACATTTTTAAAGAAAATAATTTACCTCATAGAACGAGAAAGGATCATCCGATTATCTAAAATTTTTGCAAATCTGGTGTGGTAGAAGAAGGTAGAACCACAAAGGGTCAACATTTTGAATACCCATAATTCTTGTAAAATGCAAATGAGGATCAAATTTTTTCCAACTTTTTATACCCTCCGCCATAGTATGTTGGGCAAATTAAGTTTGTCATCCCGTTTGTAACACCTCGAAATATACATTTTAGACCCCACAAAGTACTTCCTGATCAGCATAAAATTCTATGCCGAGTTAGCGGTGTCCGTCCGTCTGTGGAAATCATTCTAGCTTCCGAACATAATGAGGTAGGTTGATAAAATTTTACTCAAATGTATATTATGTCTGCAGGACTTTCGGTATTGAAAATGGGCCATGTAGGTCAACGTTTTGGTATGACCCGCCCTATTAAGGGAACCTCCCTATTTTCATTATTACTAAAAATTTTAAATTTGGTATTTAATGTTCTTAATCGGTACTACAGCCTATGGCAGACAGTTGTCGGTGGAGGACCCCACCTTCATATAGGTCCCATATAACGGCACCTTCCGATATTCGGTATTTTGATGATTTTAGTTGCATTATTTACCGGAATTGTTTCAAATTTGGCATTTGAAGTTCATAAAATTGCGTGTGCAGTTCCACGTCTTCGTATAGCCCATATTTAACGGTACCTCCCAATATTCGGTATTTTGATAAGTTTAGCCACATTATTCACCGGAATTGTTTCAAATTTGGTATTTGAAGTTCGTAATATATACTACAGCCTATGACGAAAAATTGTCTGTGCAGGTCCAAGTTTTGGAATAGCTCCTATATAATGGTACCTCCCAATATTCGGTATTTCGATAATTTTAGCTACATTATTAATCTTTTTTTTCAAGTTTAGCATTTGAATATTGGCAGGTCCACGTCGTCGTTTAGACCCTAATATAACGGCTTCATTCGGCATTTTTAAGATTTTAACAGAATTTGTAACGGATTTTATTTTTTTTTTTTTTGAAATTGCAAAATTCGTTTCAAATGGTGGAGGGAATTCAAAGTTCGGCCCAGCCGGACTTAAAGCTTGTTTTACTTGTTAAAATCTCATATGTCTACCAACACAATATCTGGTATGAATAGATCAGATCACTCCTTTTGGTACTCCAACACAATGATTAACATTTGCAATACCCATAACCCGCACAAAATTTTAGAGAAGAGCCCGATTATCTTCAAATTTCGCATATCCCAATATTTCTAGCAACACATAATGTTGTGTTGTGAACGTGGGAGAGATCTACCCACTCCTTTGAAACTACTCAATTTTTATACCCTTGTCTGAGTTTCTTTTTCAGCAATGCTTTTTTGGGCGAAATCCATTTCAGTACTTGTGACGTCGAACTAGTTATGTGCTACATTCGTTGGAACAAATGTTTGCAATGTTTGTAACGTTGTTTTTTCGTTGGCTGAGGTAAGCCCAGTTGTAGCCAGAGTGTCCACTAATCTTTATGAAATAAAACAAGTAGGGAAAGGTCAAAAGTTGGAAAGTTCCGAGTATACGATACCATACACCACTATGCGGATTTAGTAGAGCTTATGTAACAAAAAATTTAGTATTGAGAATTTATGTGAAGTAGATCGTACCAATTATGTATCAAATAACATTGCTGTATAGTGCATGATATGATTTCGATAGGGATTATATTGAAAAATATTTATGGGAGCAATAGATATACCGGACTGAGTTTCACCAAATGGTAAAATTCGGTGGAATATGAAAAAACTTATTTAATTTGGGGGTAATATTATAAGTAATAAAATAAACAAAATCGGATGCGGATGTATATCGAAGCTATATAAAAATTTGAACCGATCTCGATTAAATTTGACAGAGATATTTTCGAGCAGTATCTGATACCCGGTATCAAATATCATAGTTGTCGAGTGCATATTACGCATGTTAGGGGCTTTAACACCAAACCGGATAAAACATATATATGGGAGCTATAATTATATCTGAATCGATTTTCACCCACATTTGAATCACTTAATTTTAGGCTAAATCTCGTCGGAAGTGTCAAAATTCAGTCCATTTGGGATATTTGGTGCGACGGGAGCTATATCCTAATCTGAACCGATCTCGGTAAAATTTGACAGAGTTGTATTTGAACTCCATAAGTTATCTGGTACGAAATATCTTTCTTGTGCATTGCATATTACGCATGTGAGGGACTTAAAACCCCAAATCGAATAAAACATATATATGGGAGCTATAGCTATATCTGAAGCGAAATTTGATGTACTAAACTGATTTCTGTCGGAATTGCCAAGATTCCATTCATTTGGGCTGATATTGGCCATTTGGTCTGATATTGGCCATTTGGTGCACCATTAACACGAAATCGGTTGAAGGTTATTATTTTTGGAAGCTATATCTAAATTTGGAACGATTCTCACCAATCTATAGGGTTCGTCCTTGCGCCAAAAAAATTTTGGTTGGAAAATTTCATCTCAATGGAATAATAAATGCGACCTGCATTTTGTTCACAAAAATATTTGTATCAGTGCTAGGTCTGGAGTGAAAATGCACAATATTTTTCCACTCCATCAAGTACCATCCCAACAACGAGTCCAATTTTTTAATAGTTATATCCCTCATAAAATGTGAAAAAAGCTGCCGATTCATTCTAAAAACCACAAATTCCAATATTTCTGCCAACTCAAGATCTGATGTGAATATGGTAGATATTGGTTCAAACTTAGGGTATCTAAAATCCCAAAATCTGATATAAATATGGAATCTATCTATCAACTTGTTCTGGTACCTAGCTCATAAAAGTTGTGCACTTTGATTGTCATTTATTCGTCTAAAATTTGGAAATAACTGTTGGATTTTCTTATGAATTTGCACATACGGATTTTATTTTATATAATACCTCACGCATATTTCAACATAAAATGAGAAGGAAGTATTCTATATAGCCCAAGTACGTTGTATAATTTATATCAGACATGGGTCAAATACGATATGAAGTGGACCAATATTGTCACCTCCGAACTCGATGTAATTTTGGTAAAAATATTACGATGTACGAAGTTTGATCCAAATCTACAGTTATCGTGCGCACAGACGGGCGATTATGGCTGGATCGACTCCAAATGACCTGAAATAAATTGTTGTCTCTACGAACAAGAATAGGGTATGAAACATTGATTTTTATGCTGGGCAGTTTCTCTGCAACAAATGATATATACCCTCTATTGAAAACAAGTAAAAAAGCTGTAAGTTCGGCCGGGCCGAGCTTTTAATATCCTCCATCATTTCGAACGAATTTGGCAATTCTTAAAAACAATAAAATCCCTTAAAAATTCTGTTAAAATCTTAAAAATACCGAATGTGGCTATTATATTAGGGTCTATTCGACGACATGAACCTGCGCAGATAACATTTGTCATAAGCCATTACAATATGCGAAATCGAAAAAACTGCGAAACTTAAAAAAATCGGTTATAATGTCGATAAAATCAAAATACCGAATATCGGGAAGTACCGTTCTATGTGGGCTTTACGAAGACGTGGACCTGCACAGGCAATTTTCTATCGTAGGTTGTAGTATCCATTACGAACTTCAAATACCAAATTTAAAACAATTCCGGTTAATAAATTCGCTAAAATCATCAAAATACCGAATATCGGGAGGTACCGTCATATGGGGGCTCTACGAAGATGTGGACCAGCACAGACAATTTTCTATTGTAGGTTGTAGTACCTATAACGAACTTCAAATATCAAATTTGAAACAATTCTGGTGAAAAATGTCCCTAAAATCATTAAAAAACCGAATATCGGGAGGTACCGTTATATGGGGGTTATACGAAGACGTGGACCTGCACAGACAATATTCTGTCTTAGCCTGTAGTATCCATTATAAACTTCGAATACCAAATTTAAAACAATTCCGGTGAATAATTTCGCTAAAATCATCAAAATACCGAATATCGGAAGGTACCGGTATATGGGTGCTATACAAAAACGTGGACCTACATGGCCCATTTTCAATGCCAAAAGTCCTGCAAACATAACATACATTTGAGCTAAATTTTATCAATCTACTTCAATTCGTTCGGAAGCTAGAGTGATTTGCACAGACAGACAGACGGATAGACGGACGGACATCGCTAAATCGACATAAAATTTTTTGCTGATCAAGAATATATATACTTTGTAGGGTCTATAATGAATATTTTGAGGAGTTACAAACGGAATGACAAAGTTAATATACCCTCCATAGAATGGTGGAGGGTATACAAAATGTAAAAATTATGGCGTTTGACTTTGTTGTCTTTGCGTTTTGTCACCAATTAATTTGTAATGAGAAAAAAATGGTTTTCGTTGTTATTGTTAAGGACGGAATAATCCTTTACTTTTTACCTACTGGCAATGCAGAATGTAGTTGTTAACATTACTCTTTAATGGGTTGTTTGGCTCATACAGCTTCCACAGTTTTGCTGGGATATTATATATGATTTGGAAGGCTTTATATTTCAGTGGAATTTCAGCCTTAAATATTTAGAACTGTCATTCCAAATTCACTAAATTCGAAATTCATTGCACCATATTACTTAAAGTTAAGAGTTGTTGAAATAGTCTTCTTTTTTTTAGTTTCCCATCTCTACCATCATCAATAATTCATGAGCACAAATTTATCACTGTCTTGTATGCCATAAACTTTTTCCCATATTGTTTTTTTGCTTCTCTGTTTTTTATTCAACTTTTTCTTTTTCTTCTTTCAGTTGGTCAAATGGAAAAGCGTGAACGCGTCATCAAGCTGACCACCAATGACACCGGTTACCTTTATCAGTTGAACTATCCGCACGATATGCCAGAAAATGTTGACTTTACGCAGCATCTAGTGGCACCATTTGGCCACAACATCCTCTTGGAGCTGCATGATGTTGAATTCTCAGAGAATGGATGTCCGGACAACAACATAATAGAGGTATGTATGTATGCGAGTGTGTGTGTGTGTGTGCACACATATGTCCAATACATAAACTTTATGTTTACAAAGGTGATAACCAGTAAACAACAGCAACAACGCAATTGTCCGAACGGACTGCATCGAAGGAGCGGTGTGTGACACCAAAAACAAAAATGCCTTCAGTAGTTTTTGTTGTAGATGAATACCAAAGTGACTTTGCGTGTTGAACTTAAATTTACAATTTATGGATGTGTCGTCGTCCTTCCCCACAAATGAATTACTTATGTTCGTACACATATGTCGGGGATGGGGATGGGAGGTCGCCAGATTGAATATGTGAAGTGTTGTACAAAATGTAATGGAATATTTATGGCGACAATGTTTGCGCATGTGTGTGTGTTGTTCATTTTGTAATGAAGAATTTCAAAAATGTAAAATTTATAAATATTTATTAGACTAGAAGAAAGAAAACTGTTGATGCATACATTTCAACGATGTTTAAAGGTTTTGAAAGCTTAGTTACGACAAAATATTTGGGTCACAACTGCCATTAGGCGTCTACGGTAACATAATGAACTGCAACATTCTGCACAAATTATTACCGGATTTTGGTTCGACAGTCCAAAAATCCAATAAGTGAAAGCAAAATAAATTTTTGAGAGATGAGTAAGGTTTTTATACCCTTCACCACATAGTGGTAAGGGTATTATGTCTTTTTGCATTTGTTTGTAACATGGAGAAGAAAGCGAGATAGACCCATAGTTACTTTTGAGGATCTCCATAGAATCACTTTCTGAGTTGATTTAGGCATGTCAGTCCGCCTGTCCATGTATTCTTGTGAACAAAATGCAGGTCGCATTTTTTATCCGATTGAGATGAAATTTTCCAAACAACATTTGTTTGGCCCAAGCACGAACCCTATTGAAATTGGAGATAATCGGTAAAAAAATTAGATAAAGCTCCCATATATATATTCGTCCGACGTGTAATATCAGCCCGAATAGTATGGCATTTTCCACAAACAACCAAATTAGGCCTGAAAATAAGTATGCCAAATTTGATCGAAATCGATTCAGGTATAGCTATAGCTCCCATATATATTGTTCATCCGATTTGTTATTTTTGTCCTTCGCAGCCGTAATATGAACTCTGCAACAACAATATTTGGGGAAATATATCAAATACAGCTCGGAAATATCTTCGCCAAATTTTATCGAGATCGGTTCAGATTTGGAAATAGTTCCCATATATAACTTCGTCCGATTTACTTTTATTGTGCACCAAACGTCTAGTATTTGTCCAAATAGGATGGAATTTGGCACGTACGACCGAATTGAGTCTGGAAGACAGTATGCCAAATTTGGTGAAGATCGGTTCAGATATAGCAATAGCTCCCATATATATTATTCATCCGATTTGTTATCTTTGTCCTCCACATCCGTAATATGCACTCCGTAACAACGATATTCAGGAAAATATATCAAATACAGTTCAGAAATATCTTTGCCAAATTTTATCAAGATCGGTTCAGATATGGATAAAACTCCCATATATAACTTCGTTCGATTTACCTTTGATTGTGCACCAAACATGTAACATTTGCCCAAATGGAATGGAATTTGGCACGACCGTTTTGAGTCTAGAAGCTAGTATGTCAAATTTGGTGTAGATCGGTTCAGATATAGCTATAGCTCCCATATATATTGTTCATCCGATTTTTTGTTTTTGTTACCCACAGCCGTAATATGCACTCCGTAACAACGATATTCAGGGATATATATCAAATACAGCTCAGAAATTTCTATGACACATTTTCGAGATCGGTTCAGATTTGGATATAGCTCCCATATATATCTTTATCTTATTCCAAATTAATTGTGCACCAAATGGACAATACAAGTCCGCATTTAAAATATACAAATGCTTCGGCATATTTAGTCCTTTGAACTTTAAGTTATAATTATAATCATAGCGTGTATGATTGAATTCTCCCATAAAATCTTTTAATTGTTATGTGGAGCTCTACAAAATTAGCAAAGTGGTGTAGGGTATCAAAAAGTCGGCCCGCCCGACTTTAGGACATTCTTTACTGGTTCTAATTTTATTATGGAAGGTGTATCAACTCTGACAATCCGTTAGTAACTCATTGAAATGATCACGTAAGATCAGGGCAAAATTCGATTTGGATGATTTAGTTATGTTCTCCAGTCTCTTGTAACTTCGCAAGATAGTTCTACATAATTTAGCACAACCATAGTACCATCCTATATTTGGTATTTTTAAGATCTAAGCCACATTTCCTAAACGAATTCGGTGTTTAGAGTCCGTAATGGTAGAAACAATTACCAAGTATTCAGTTTTTTATACCCTCAGCCTTATGGCTACAGAAGGTATCTATCATTTGATACGGCCAAAACATGCATCATCGAAATAACGATTTTTGACCCTAGGTCTCTTGGGACCAAATCCGTTTCAGGACAATTGGAGTCGAACTAGAGGTTCCATCCGTATGTCTGTCTGGATAGCTGGCTGGCTGGTGCGCACGATAACTCTCGAAGAGAGTATCCGATTTGATCCAGAAATAAGAAACCCATTGTCTTAAAATTTTACACATCCTAAAATTGCCATTAATACATGAACTGGTTTGAAAATGGGATATATCGGTACACTCCTTCTGGTACCTCCCCTACAAAGTGTCAAAATTTTGAATGGCCATGAAGGTCGTAAAACTAGGCAGATCTCATTATTTCTATCAACACAAGACCTGGAACGAAGATGTCATTCTAACAGAAGACCTACATGTATTCTCAACGAAGAACTACCGGTGTTCTAACATAAGACCTATTTCGACCCTACTTCTTCTAAAAGAAGATCTTCTAGTCTTCAACCTACCAGACCAGAGGGTCTTCTTTTAAAAGACTAGATTTTCTATGAGAAGACCTTCTAGTCTTCTTCTATGAGAAGACCTTCTGGTCTTCTTCTACAGAACACCTTCTGGTAGTTTTCGATGAGAAAAACTTTTGTTCTTCTTCTATGAGAAGACCTTTTGTTCTTCTATGAGAAGACCTTCTTGTCTTCTATGAAAAGATCTTCTGGCCTTCTATGAAAAGACCTTCTGGTCTTCTATAAGAAGACCTTCCGGCCTTTTATAAGAAGACTTTCTGGCCTTCTATTATAGTGGTTTTCCTTAACGAAAAACTTATGGTCTTCTATGAGAAGACCTTCTCCTTCAAATCATTATGACCAACGTATTCCAATTTTTATACAAATCCGTGATAAAATGTGACAAAAACCATCAAAATACCGAATATCGGAAGATACCGTTATATGGGGGCAAAGCGTTGATGTATACATACAATGTGTCGGCGCACGAACTAGGACCCATTATGACCTAAAAATACCAATTTTCAGACAAATCCGTGAAAAAATGTGGTTAAAATCGTCAAAATACCGAATATCGGAAGGTACCGTTATATGGGGCTATACCAAAACGTTAACCTACATATACAATGTTTCGCCGCACGAACTAGGTCCTATTATCACCTACAAATACCAATTTTCAGACAAATCCGAGAAAAAGTGTGGCAAAAATCATCAAAATACCGAATACCGGGATGTACCGTTATACGGGGACTATACCAAAACGTGAACCGATATATCTCATTTTCAATACCAACCATCCTAGACAGAAAACAAATTATTTTGCTCAATTTTGACACTCTACGTCACATAATGTGGGCTGTATCGTGATTTCAACAGACAGACAGACAGACAGACAGACCGACAGACATCGTTAGATCGTCCTAGAATTGTATGCTGATTATGAATATATATATATATATATATATATATATATATATATATATATATATATATATATATATATATATATATATATATATATATATATATATATATATATATATATATATATATATATATATAGTATGGGATCTATGACGAATATTTAGGGATGTTACAAACGGAATGACAAAGTTAATATACCCTCCTTTCCAAGATGGAGGGTATAATTATATTGTACGATTTTGTACCTTTTATTATTTTTCGTACCCTTTGAAGTATGAATATTGAAGAAATGGGCTTAATTCAGTCCTTTGCAATTAGAGTTACGTTCATGTAAAATTTATCTATAACAAACATCTAGCTCATTCCAATCCAATGTTTAAATGTTGAATATCGGGAGGCTCCATTGAAAAGGAGCGCTACAAAAACTTGGCCAAATTTCTCTCCGAAAATATGACAAAGTTTACTTGAATTTTGCGATTTTTGAACGAATATAGACATCACGTATGGGCCTAACCACATTTTACAATTTTGAGGGCACAGGTACACAACCATCTCTCAAAAATATTTTACTGCCCTCCAAATTTTAAATCAGTAAAATTTCTCATCTCTCAATACTAAATTTTAAAACGATGGCATCCTCATTGCCATCTCGCACAAATAGATTAGGTTAATATTTCCAAAAATATTATCATTTAAATTATTTCAATTTCGCCCAAGCTATTCCATTCATAATGTGTTTAAAGTAAAATCATCTCCCCTTCTTCTTCATCTTCTTATTTCAGGTTTATGATAATTACGCCGACAATAATGGCACCAAATGGCAACTATGCAAATTTCAAAATGCAAATGTCCACACTGGCAGTCCCATTGAGGATAGCAGCTATTTAACCACCAACAACCATATGCAACAGCCAACTGACTATTTTCTGGGTAGCAGCAGCAGCAGCAGCATCAGCAGTACTAGCGCTAATGATTTCCATCTCAACAATGACGTAGTGTTTGATAGCCATCTGCTGGCTGGGGCTGGCGGTGGCAGCAACGGCCACATGGAGACAACATCCCCATGGGCATCAACGACAGATGTTGCCGAATTTTTACTACGTCAACAACAGCTGCAGCAACAGTTGTACTACAGTCGGCCGACAGCTCCACCTCCGGTGTATATAACCTCTTACCTGAATACACTGTACATACGTCAGCGTACCACTGCCAAATCCATTGCAAATCTTAATTGTACCGTACGCCTGCAATGGGGTAAGTACTGAATATGAACGAACAGTGAATGCGAACTATTCTTTGCAGTGGAAAGAGTAGTAGTTTTTTTGTGAGAAGTGAAACACATGGACAGATGGACAACTTCATCTTTTTGATGGTTTGTGACACAATGACTGACTGTGTTTGTGCGTTGGTGTGAGTCTGCATCTGGGGAACATTTTAAGTTTGGGCCACTGAATAAATTACATTTACAGTTCATATTTAGTGAAATGTTCATTTCATTGCTGCATAGCTTTATTCTTTTCTTCTGAGCTTGGTTGTGCCATTTATGAGTGTGTTCTTATTTGTTGCTACAGTGGCTTGAAATGGTTTTTGTGTGTAAATGTGTAAAACTTAAAGTTTACAGAAATTAAGATTTTTTCTAAGGTAACTTTAAGATATTTAATTACCTATAACTGTATAATCTAGGAATGCATGAAATCAAGGAATTACCCAGGGGAAATTAGGAGGGACCTATTATATGATAGCCTATACCACTATACATATTTAAAAGAGCTATTCTTAACAAATATCAGTTTATTTTGGGAATTTGTAGAAATTGTATAATATCAGAGTTCGACTCTAGGCAAACATAACCATTACCTACCTCCTTCTGGATTTCCGTGTTACATATATAATAAGCCTAGCAAGGACTTAATACAAATCCTATTATTAGCCCATTATTTTAAAAATGTCATACCACTCGAAATTGTTACTCCTTTTTCCGAAATATTCGACAAGTATTACACCGATTTTTGATGAATTTATTAGGGATATTTAGGATATCATATAGATCCAAATTGTTGTATAGACCCCATAAAACGGCTAATTTTCAGATGAATTTTCTCAAAGTTGGTATTTGGAGCTCGCAATATCCTCTCTAGCAAGTAATGTTTTATGCAGGTCCCCGTTTTTGTGTTCCTCCCATAACACTGAACTATTTTAGGCACATTTTCCCAACGGAACTTTATGGAATTTGGTATTTGGAGTTCGACACAGGTTCTACTTTCTCGGGAAGGCAATTGTTCATGCAAGTCCATTTCTTCGTATAGCTTTTATATAGCGGAACCTCTCGAAACTGGATATTTTGATGATCTATATCTATAAAAGAGGAAAATGTTTGTACGTTTGATTGTTTGTAATTTCTAGACTCAAAAACCGCTGAACATATAAAAGTACCTCCAAAAATGTTTGATTTTGTATGCTCATATCTATTCGGAATTCGGAATTTGCAACGGAAATCGAAATAAATTAATTTGCAAAATTATATTGAAGTCGGTTCAGATCTGGATATAGCTTCTATAAATTTTCGCCTGGTTTTATATATTTCATGTACCAAACGCGATATATATGTCGGATTCAAATGAAATTTGGAATGTGTGGCTAAATTTGGTCTACAAATAAATTTGTAAAATTATATTGAAAAAGATCCAGATCGAGTGTTTTTGATGTACCAAAGCCGATTTACAGGGTGAGATAAATTTTTTTTATTGAATGATAGCAAAAAATGTCGGAAATAGCATCAATTTTTCTTCAAACGGCCAATGAAACCGTCACACGCTGTCCGAATGTTGCTCTGCGGTATTTTGGCCCATTCCCGGCGAAGCGACACTTTGGTATTTTTAAGAGCCAAACTTGTCTTCCAAGATACTCCAGACAAAATAGTCCAACGGATTGGTATCCAGAGATTTGGTGGCCATTGTGCGTTGGAAATGAAGCGAGGAACCTCATTTTGTAACCATTCTTGGGTGGGGCGTATTAAGTGCGATGGTGCTGAGTCCTATTGGAATATCCAAGGTCTGCGGCCAAAATGTTTGCATGCCCAAGGCTTTAATACACCCTCCAGAATATTTTCGCGATAATATTCGGCATTTATTCTGATGCCACGGTCGATTAATACGAGGGGATAGCGACCATCGGCTGTTATTGCGGCCCACACCATCACCATGGCCGGCTCTTGAGTTCTGGTGGCCAACCGAAGATGCACATTTTCAGCTGTCCTCTTTGGCAAGTAAACCCGATCATTTTGTTTGTTTACAAACTTCTGGACAACGAATGTTTTCTCATCTGAGAAAACCAAGTTCGGCAGTTCACCACTTTCGGCCAAGCGAATCTACTTTTTCGGCCACTGCGATGCGGCTTTCGATCAACCAACCATTTCTGCTAATCTTGCTGTTATCTGCCGTCCACTTCCTTGACGTCGGGCTACGCTACCAGTATCACGGTAACGAGCGATGGTACGAGACACAAAAGATTTATTCACATTTAAATGCTGGAATGTCCTAACGATAGCCACTTGTGGTTTTCCAGCCAAATATAAAGAAATCGGACTATCACGCTTAATTCCATCACGAATAACTTTTTTTCTGAAAAATTCTCACCGAAATGCTTTTGTACGCTTGTAAACAATGTAATGAGCTGTCACTAGAATTATTTTAAAAGCTGTCGGACGAGTGGCTTAGAAATGACAGCCTTCTGAATTTGGTTGCAGTTTTTTCATCTCACCCTGTATATCCGATTAGGTCGACTAAAATGTAATATGTTACTGCTTTTCTCATAGTCAGCTGTACGTGGCATGGTCACGTGAGGATGGACCGAGCGATTTGTTTGTTGACTTTTAAAATACAAATAAAATTAATACATAACAAGAACTCAAGCAAAACTGAAAGAATGCTGAGTTATCCTTGCAAGTGGACTATTCCAAAAAGTGGACCAATATGACTCATTTTCTGATCCCTTGGTTCTATATGTAATCCAAAGATCTCTACCGGTATTTGATACCGGACATCAGACTCTGCTCAAAAATACCTCATCCTATCAAAAAAGTATTTTAAATTTGGTGTTAATCGGTTCAGATATAGCTATAGCTCTCAAATATATGTTTTTTTTTTCCGAATTGGGGTTTAAAGTCCCTCACAAGCATAATATGCACTCCACAACAATGATCTTGCGTATCTGATACAGCTCTGAAATAAGTGTATCAAATCTTGTTAAGATCGGTACAGATTTGGATATAGCTCCCATATATATCCTCAACCGATTTCGGGTTAATTGTGCACCAAATAGCCAATATCAGTCCATATGACCCGACACATCCGACCGAATTCAGTCTAGAAGCAAGTACGTTAAATTTGGTGAAAATCGGCTCAGATATAGCTATAGCTTCCATATATAAATTTGATCAGTTTTGGTGTTTAAGTCCCTTACATTCGTAATATGCAATTGGCAACAATGATAGTTGGTACCAGTTATCAGATACAACCAAGAAATAGCTCTGTCGAATTTCAGATTTGGATGTAGATCCCATATATATCTTTATCCGATATCAGGATTATTGTTTACCATATGGCTAATATCAGCCCAAATGAACGGAATCTTGGCAATTGCGACTGAATTCATCCCAAAAACAAGAACCTTACATTTGGTGAAAATTGGTTCAGATATAGCTATAGCTCCCATATATATGTTTCATCCGATATGTTGTGTAGGGTATAAAAAGCACCAAAAATACCCTCTTTTGTGGGTTCAAATTGTCGACCAGGATATTCCTATACATATACCTGAAAATCATGTATTCCGAGGAATCCTAATCTGAAAATTTCCAAAAGTGCGGAAGGATGGGGAGACTTGTCCGTTCTATTTAGGTTACTTTGCGCTGTAAATTTTCAAAACACCGATACACGTGTCTTCTTTTTTGGCTCTACTTACATAATCCGCTAGATTTTCCCCTTAATATTAAAAACAAGTAAAGAAGCTGTAAGTTCGACCGGGCCGAACTTTGAATATCCTCCATCATTTGGTACAAATTTGGTAATTTTCAAAACAATAAAATCCGTTAAAAATTCGGTTAAAATCTTGAAAATACCGAATGTAGCCGTATATTAGGGTCAATACAACAACGTGGGCCTGCATATGCAGTATTTGTCATAAGCTATTGCAATATTCAAATACGAAACTTGAATAATATCTGTTTATAATACAGTTAAAATCATCAGAATACCGAATATAGGGAAGTACCATGGGTTTATAAAATGTGGACTTGCACAGACAATTTTCTGTCATAGGCTGTAGTATTCATTACGAATTTCAAATGCGAAAATTCCGGTGAATGATGCCGCTAAAAACATCAAAATACCGAATATCGGGGCATATCGTTATATGGGGGCTATACGAAGCCGGGGACCTGCACAGACAAATTTCCATCATAGGCTGTAGTATTCATTACGAACTTCAAATGCCAAATTTTAAATACTTCCGGTAAATAATGTCTCTAATATCATCAAAATACCCAATATCGGGAGGTGCCGTTAATTGGAGGCTATACGAAGACCTGGACCTACATGGCTCATTTTCTGTCTTAGACTGTAGTATCCATTACGAACTTCAAATACCAAATTTGAAACAATTCCAGTAAATATTGTTGGTAAAATCTTCAAAATACCGCATATCGGGATTTACCGTTATATATATAAGGGGCCGCACATCAGGAGATACCGTTAAATGGGGGCTATGCGAAGACGTTAACCTACATCACCCATTTTCAATACCGAAAGTTCTGCAGACATAATACACATTTGAGTAAATTTTTATCAACTTACTTCATGTCGTTCCGAAGCTAGAGTGATTTCCACAGACGGACGGACATTGCTAAATCGACATAGAATTTTATGCTGATCACGAATATATATATACTTTGTGGGGTATATTTCGAGGTGTTACAAACGGAATGACAAACTTAATATACCCTCCATACTATGATGGACGGTATAAAAAATAATATTTGTCGCACAGTGTTATAAGTTGTACTGTTTGGTCTTCCTTCCTTCCTTTTAGAATTATCAGCAGAATATTTACACGAATGACGTTTCTATTTTGAAATTTAGAAAATAACCCCCCCCTCGTACTACTCCTATGGAGATGTTGAAAACGCATCTAATTCGAATTGAACAACTTTCCAATATTCCGTAAATTTTAATTCTTTAAAAAGGAAGAATATTAAATTGTATGCCCCTAAAAACTTGTTGCTTCAAATAGTTGTGGTCTGCCATTGCATTTTGTGGCTTTATTGTCCCACAGTGGACGGTACAATGTCTGAGATCCTTGTGGGAGAACACATTTAAAATGTCGTCATGCACTTCTGTTGAGTTGACATTTCATTACAGTTGGATTGTTGACGCACACACACACACACACATGTACAAGAAAAATAAAATTTATGCGCGCACACAAACATACCCACCTGTTCATTCCCATGTTTATTTATACGCTTACCTGTCACTCGGTCCATTCAGTTATTGTTTTTTGTGTTTGTTTGTTGTTACTGTTTGTATTATTTTTACTCATTTGGTTTATTTAATTTTAATTTGCAACAAAAATTCAAATAAAAGTACCGAATTAATTCAATGGAATTTATTATAAAATTTGCAAATGGCATTTGGAAGATGACTAAATGAACTACTGCCATTGCATAGAATTATTGATTAATTTACTTAAATGCAAACATTTGCAAATGGATTTATAGGTTAAATGGGAAATAACAATAATATATGCATTCATTACGAATTTTTGGCAATTTTAGTTTCTAAATCACTAATTATTAATCGGTATTTGATATTTAAGAGCATACATTTTAAAAATGTAGATTATGTTTGCAAGACTTCAACAATACAGAGATTAGGCCAGACAATATTAATATAACAAATTATTCAAATTAATATTAGATTTCATATTGAATTTTTGAGAATTGATATTTAAGGTAAGACCTTAACTGTAGTATTTTCTCTCTTATTGTTTTGTACAATGTTAACACCTAATGAATTGTAATCGATCTAATCTAAACCTCACCCCCGCAATGCATTTGAAATGTAATGCAACCACTTAAAAAACTACACACGAGAGCATGTAATTCACCATGTTCTGCATTCAATTCCCTTTGGCTATTTCATTTAAACGGAGATCTTTGGTAATTAGAAACACTAAATGCCAATGACAACTAATCAAAGGTGATGAGCAGCCGGAATGGGCCTCAGGTTAATAGTAGGGGAGGAATGCAGCATGCTGGTAAACATGTCGAACATGCATTTGTTATTAACTCACATCCTGTATTTGTGGGTCGAACCTGGCTAAAAGCGCTTTAATTTTTCTATAAGTTTAAAGTTGTTATGTACTCGCTTCTACATTATTCGCAGGATATAAATAACACTGTGCAACACAAAACAAGTTAAAAAGCAGTAACTTTGAATACCCTCCACCATTTGGAACGAATGAGATAATTTAAAAAAAAAAAAACGGAAATAAATAAATAATACCCTTTAAATCTTTAAAATACCTAATATCGTAAGGTGCCGATACATGAGGGATAAACGATATTGTGGACATATATAGACAAATCTATGTCTTGGGGTAAAGTACTCACAAATAACTCAATGTGTAGAATTTCAGACAATTCCGTTGAAAAACTTGGCTGGCGGGGGGTACCTATATATACGATATCGTGGACCGATATAGCCCATCTTCGAACTTGACTGCATACAAAAGGGAGATCTCTGCAAAATTTTAGCTTCTATCTTAATTCGTTTTGACTTTAGCGTGATTACAACAGACGGACAGGGCTAAATCGTCGTAGAATTGTACGCTGATCAAGAATATATATACTTTGATGGAAGGTGGAGGGTATAAAAATGGTTCATGAAAAATCCAGTTGATTATGAATGTAGATTTTAAAAGGTTTCTTGAATGATTGATTTGCTTTGAATTTAGAACATGTTTAAATTTGTTCAAATTGGTCATCTTAGGCACGGATTATGGCCTTTAAACGGCCAATGAAAAAAACACACGCTACCCGAATGTTGCTTTGCGGTATTTTGGTTCATTCCCGCCGAAGCGCTTGCTTGAGGTGATCGACACTTTGGTATTTTTTAGTGCCAACTTTGCTTTCAAAATACTCAAAACACAATAGTCCAACCGACTGGTATCTCATTCATTTTTTAACCATGAGATGGAAAAACTTCAACCAACTTCAGACTGCTGTCATTTCTAAGCCACTCTGTTAAAATTATTCCAGTGAGAGCTCATTTTATTGTTTACAAGTGTACAAAAGCATTTTGGTGATAATTTTAGAGAAAACATGTACAAAATCTGTAAGTTCTGCCGGGACGAACTTTGAATACCCTCCACCATTTGGTACAAATTTGGCAATTTTTAAAAAATTAAAATCCATTAAATATTCTGTTAAAATCTTTAAAATACCGAATGTAGCCGTATATTAAGGTCTATACGACAATGTGGACTGCATTGGGAAATTTGAAACAATTCTGGTAAATAATGTCGTGAGTGATTTCCACGGACGGACGGACATAGTTAAATTGACATAGAATTTTATGCTGCTCAAAAATATATATACTTTATGGGGTCTAAAATATATATTTCGAGGTGTTACAAACGGAATGACAAACTTAATATACCCTCCATACAATGGTGGAGGGTATAAAAAGATATTCATTATGGAATTCAAGCGTAATTTCTTTTTTTTTTTTTGGCTGGAAAACCACAAGTGGTTAACGTTAGACAACTCCAGTGAATACATTTTTGTTTCTCGTGAGCTGAATTCGGCAAATATTGAAAAATGAGCTCGGGGTAAAGCCATCGATAGTGCAAAAAGTGCAAGAACTTAAACCACAACAGAAAGAAAATAGATCGAGAGAGCTAAAGAGTTTCTTCGCTTGGCCAAAAGTGGTGAACTGACGAATTTGGTTTTCACCGATGAGAAAACGTTCGTTGTCCAGAAGTTTGTAAACAAACAAAATGATCGTGTTTAGTTGCCAAAGAAGTCAGCTGAAAATGAGCATGTGGTGATGGTGTGAGCCGCCATAACGGCCAATGATCGCTCTCCGCTCGTTTAAATCGATCGTGGTATCAGAATAAATGCCGAATATTATCGCGAAAATATTCTGGAGGGTGTATTAAATCCTTGGGTTTTTGATTGCCCAATATTTTGGCCGCAGACCTTGGACATTCCAACAGGACTCAGCACACGCCACCCAAAAATGGTTACAAAATGAGGTTCCTCGCTTCATTTCCAATGCACAATGGCCACCAAAATCTTCGGATACAAATCCGCTAGACTATTGTGTCTGGAGTATTTTGGAAAGCAACGTTGGCACTAAAAATACCAAAGTTTCGATCACCTTATGCAAGCGCTTCGCTGGGAATGGGCCAAAATACCGCAGAGCAACATTCGGGCAGCGTGTGGCGGTTTCATTGGCCGCTTGAAGGCCATAATTCGTGCAAAGGTGACCAATTCGAACAAATCTAAACTTATTCTAACATTTTTTGCTTTCATTCAATTAAATTAAAAAAAATCATGGCTTTTGTCTTTGTTGCAGTTTTTTTATCTTACCCTGTATATCTATGATATACTCCATCAATGACCCTCATTCCAAATTTAAGAGTTCTATCTCTAATCAGTTCATCTCTATTCTCAACTACAAAGGGTACCATATTTAGTAGCTTTTATTACTTTTCGTACCGTTTTAGTACGAATTTATAAAAACCCAGCCTCACCCAAAATTCCAAGATTCTACTAAATGAAGTTTATATACTAACTTTTATGAATCATGCAATCTTTGTATATTTTACAAATTTGTTGCTCCCTTTCTAATTTAATATTTTACGTGAATTGTGAAGGACAAACTGTAATTTAAAAACGACTATTTTCTCTGCCCTTTTCACCGTTTTCACTCATTCTCAATTTATCTATCTACATATTCTTTTCAATGCTTTCAGATAATAATTACAAAATTAAATTAGCATCAGGGGATTTGAGTGTCGAAGCATGTCAACCGAATCCCTGTCAATACAATGGCAAATGCATAGTCAGCAATGGAAGCAGTTACTGCCAATGTCTGGGCCATTACACGGGAAGGTAAATGCACCATAATAATGCTGTGTAGTTACACACAGCCCGCAAAATCCTGCTAATCCTGCAAAACAATAACTAAAATTTGTATAAACTTATTATCTTTTCCTCTCCTCTCTCTCCCCCGTATACTCATTGCTGCATAGATTTTGTGGTCTGAATATGTGTGAACTGGATCCCTGTGTCTTTGGCAGGTGCGAGCTGACAACAAACAATTTCAAGGTAAATACAATAATAGAGGTTATGTTATGGTTATGTGGTATTTCCTTTGATAATGTAACAAACCATTTAAATCGCAGTGTCATTGTCAACCTGGCTATATGGGCACAACGTGTGAACAAAAACAAAAACCCTGTTCGGAGAATCCTTGTGAGGGTCGTGGTGTCTGCATTGAAAAGAATGGTGGCTTCTTTTGTCGGTAGGTGGCAAACCATTTGAAATCCAATTTTTAATATGTAACTGATATTCTAATTTCCACATTTCCTTTTTTTTAGCTGCTATGCATGGTGGGAGGGACATCGCTGTGAAAAACGTATGCTGCATATACCCTATAAGCCGCTGTCGGAACGCATGCTGCAAGAGCCCTTTTGGCTAGGTCTTATTACAGTATTCGTTGTTCTGGCTGTCATCGGCTTGGTGTGGTGTGCCAAGCGCCATTTTCCGGAGAAAATCGAAAAACTCTTGGCCGAAGAAGCTGATCGTAATCGACGTAAGTTTTATAGAATTTGTTTTTTTTTTTTTTTTTTTCAAATACTCTACGTTAAACACTTAGTTTAAAAGACGCAAGTTTACAGTCATGCTGAACAAAATTGTTGCAATTTTCAGAATAAGAATTAAAAATTAAAAAGTTAAAGGAAAATATATATGGACAACATATTCCAAAAAGTTGAATATCTATTATAGACGGAGCTCTAGAAAGTTTTTATGCAATCCAGAGGTCAAATTTTCTCGGTGTACGAATATAACTCTCCTCTTCTTTATTTAATGTGGATGCGGTCTCGAGATACTCAGGTTTGAAAATTAAGAGTAGGAACCGAAATGCTCGAATTAGAATGAAAGTTTACTTTAAGAATATATGGGCGTTTCCGATTTCATTGAAACTTTGCACATCTTAATGGTTGAATCAGCCTTAGGTTAAATGAAAAAATGAACATCCCTTACAAATGTTAAAAATTTTTAATAGTAAAAACACCCAAAACATGTGCTTCAATACTTTTGGATCCTGCTCCACAAAGGTTTAAAATGTTGAATAATTATAATTCTTATAAAATTAAAATAAGTCCCACAAAATAGGTCACACAAAGCATTACTTTCACCTAAATTATTAGTAATCGGTCCTTCTGATCATTCATAACAAAGGGTCAACATTTTGAATAATAAAAGTGGTAAAAAGTGAAAAAAGTGTTCCATATTTATCAGTCTGAGCACATAGCAATATTTTCGCCTATATTAAACAAATGTGAAAATGTGATATATAGGAGTCCACTAGTTCTGTACTTCCAAAAAATAATAAAGAGCTCATATTCAATGAAGAGAGTACCCGCTATAGTTCGACGTATTTATATAAGACTTTGATCGGTACATCCCCTATTAAAGGTCAAAATATGGAATAATCAGTCAGAATACATTTAGGGTCTACATCTGTCGGTAAAACCGACTAATACGTTCTAATTTATTGCAGAGTACAAAGCTTTGTGGAAAAAAACTAAAAGTGTCGGCCATTTATTTTTATGGCTCCTATTTGCTATTGTACAGCGAAAGTGCTCAGTACAAATCATTATTTCAAAAAGAGCATGTCGCACGAAATATGAAGTTATTTTCTAGCCACTCTAAGCCGATAGAAAAACAAGTAAGCAAAGGCTATAGTCGTGCGGGGCCGACCATGTTATACCCTACAAAACTACAGTATGTTTGAAGCCCCTTATGTCCAAATCCATTTCGCTTTTGAAATTAGGATTTTGACTATGGACATTTGCCCAACATTTATGCACTCCGTCGGGCTGTTAGTTGTTGTAGTCCATTTTACAGCTAAATATAATCCAATGGTCATCCAAAATGCCAGAATTCTTCCCTGTCCTTAACTCTCTTCACAGGCGTGTCGATTGGCTTCAATTGTGTAATCGGAAAAACATTTCTTTTTTTGGTTAATTTTAATAAAAAAGCCAGAAGTTCGCCTTTTGTGTATTTCGGATATCGCCTGTAATTAACGCTGGTATTTTTTCACACAGAGTAATTCATTGTACCCGCTGTCCTAAACTCTAACTTTATGCGAGATTTCGTGTCCTTCGGTTTCTATTTGTGACCTTTATAACGGCTGAAAAATCAAGAAAATTTTTAGTTGCTGGTCCATTTCAACCCCCATCTTTGAAAACAATAGGTCTAGCCCTTCTGAGCCCAACCCTACCCTTGCGAAAATTTTCGTGAGGATCGGACGATATTTGCAATATTTATGTAATATCCCCAACCTGTGTTGTAAGGTGAAAAAATATTACAAAATATTGAAAGTCAAATTGAAAAAATCGCATGCGGTAAAAAATGTGAAAAAATAAAAATTGTCACAAAATACTACAAAATCTATATTAACATCATTATTGGCCTCTTTTCATGCGATTTTTTTAAATTTTATACTTTGATGTCAAGAGGGCATACTGAATATCTATATATCTCCATTCTGGAGATATAAGCATTCTAACTAACATCCCCTTCCTTTGTATATACACATTGTATATATTTCGCTATATATAACCGATATATTTACTATCGGCATCTACGTAACGGTCAGAATTGACCTGTTCGTCTATTTGTGATTTCGCCGGGATTAAAAATATTCGCGGTTTAATGGAAAATTTTACTTTTATTTGACACAAATGTTGTGGCCTATTTCACCCACTAAATATTACCCGATGACCATCAAAATTGGAAGGCTTCTGCCCAGCCCTAAGCTCTAGCCCCATGCTAATTTCCGCTTTGATTGGTATATAATTGCGACCAGTAGAGCAACTGCAAAATACGGAATTTTATCAGTTTTTGGTCAATTTCAACCCCTAAATATTATGCGATCATCTCCAGAAGAAATAGGGTTCTATTCTGACCCTATCTCCACCTCCATTCTAAATTTCGTGAAGATCGGGCCATAATTGCGACCTGTAGAGTGATTACAAATTAACATGGACAGACGGACGGACGGACATACATAGCTAGATCGACTCAGCTCGGCGAGATAGGAAGATCCATATATACTTTCCTATGTGGGAAACCAATATTTCGTGGTGTTACATAATTTTTGGCCCAATCAAACTTATAATACCCCCAACACATAGTGTTGTAGGGTATATTTATAACAACTTTTATGGCCAAAATCGATACATTTGTTAAAATAATGAGTCGGTTAGCCGGGGTGAGCAAAATAATGTTTTGCTACTTGACTATCCTTTCCCTCTGTAATATTTTATTTTTTTATTCACATTTTCTACCGATCTCGATGTCATTTGCAATTTTTAATAAAAATAGCTTGAATACCTTATTTACGATATAGACCCATAGTTACTTTTGAGGATCTTCATAAAATCAATTTCTGAGTCGATTTATGTATGTCAGTCCGTCTGTCCGTCCATGTATTTTTGTAAAAATAAGGCAGGTCACATCTTTTATCCGATTGAGATGAAATTCTGCAAACAATATTTGTTTGTCCCAAAACGAACCCTATTGAATGTTGTGATAATCGGATCAGACTTAGATATAGCTCCCATATATCTTCAACCCATATCAGGATAATAGTGCACCAAATGGCTAATATCAGTCCAAAGGACCTGTATCTGTACATCCCACCGAATTCAGTCTTTAAGCAAGTATATCAAATTTGGAGAAAATCGGTTCAGATATAGCTATAGCTCCCATATATATATTTCATCCGATTTGGGGTTTTAAGTCCCTCACATGAGTAATATCCACTCCAGCAGAAGGATATTTGGCGCCGCACATCACTCAAATTTTATCAAGATTGGTTCAGATTAGGATGTAGCTCACATACAGGGTGAGATAAAAAACTGCAACCAATTTCAGACTGCTGTCATTTCTACGCCACTCGCCTGACAGCTGTTAAAATGATTCCAGTGACAGCTTATTATATAGTTTACAAGCGTACAAAAGCATTTTGATGAGAATTTTCAGAAAAAAACGTTATTCGTGATGTAATTCTAGGGTGTAGGGTGTAATTTCTTTATATTTGGCTGGAAAACTACAAGTGGCTATCGTTAGAGCACTCCAGCATTTAAATGTGAATAAATCTTTTGTGTCTCGTACCATCGCTCGATATCGTGATACTGGTAGCGAAGCCCGGCGTCAAGGAAGTGGACGGAAGAAAACAGCAACATCAGCAAAAATGGTTCGAAAAGTAAAGAAGCGACTTGATCGAAACTCGCGTCGCAGTGGCGAAAAATGGCTCGTGAGCTGAACATATCGCAATATTCCATTCGACAAATATTGAAAAATGAGCTCGGGGTAAAGCTATTGAAATTCCAAAAAGTTCAAGAACTTATACCGCAAGTGCAAGAAAATAGACTGAAAAGAGCTAAAGAGTTGCTTCGCTTGGCCTAATGTGGTGAACTGCCGAATTTGGTTTTCTCCGATGAGAAAACATTCGTTGTCCAGCAGTTTGTTAACAAACAAAATGATCGTATTTACTTGCTAAAGAGGTCAGCTGAAAATGTGCACCTTCGGTTGGTCACCAGAACTCAAGCGTCGGCCATGTTGATGGTGTGGACCATAACAGCCGATGGTCGCTCTCCTCGCAAAAATACTCTAAAGAGTATATAAAAGCCTTGGGCACGCAAACATTTTGGCCGCAGACCTTGGACTTTCGAACAAGACTCAGTACCATCGCGCCATCCAAGAATGGTTACAAAATAAGGTTCCTCGCTTCATTTCCAGCGCACAATGGCCACCAAAATCTCCGGATACCAATCCGTTGGACTATTGTGTCTGGAGTATTTTGAAAAGCAAGGTTGGCACTAAAAAATACCAAAGTGTCGATCACCTCAAGCAAGCGCTTCAACGGGAATTGGCCAAAATACCGCAGAGCAACATTCGGGCAGCGTGTGACGGTTTTATTGGCCGTTTGAAGGCCTAATTAGTGCCAAAAGTGGCCAATTCGAACAAATCAAAACTTATTCTAAAATTTGATGCTATTTCCGACATTTTTTGCTTTCATTCAAAAAAAAAAAAATTAAAAAAAAAGTTTTTTTCTCACCCTGTATCCGATATAAGGTTTATTGTGCACCAAATGGCTAATGTCAGCCCAAATGGACTGAATTTTGGCAATTACGACTGAATTCTTCCAAGAAACCAGTACTTCAAATTTGTAAATCGGTTCATATAAAGCGATAGCTCCCATATATTTGTTTTATTCGATTTGGGGCTTAAAGTCCCTCACAAGTGTAATATGCATTCCACAACAATGATATTTGGTATCAGATAGGAGATACAGCTCCGAAATAAGTGTATTGAATTTTGTCAAGATCGGTTTAGATTTGGATATAGCTCTCATATATATTCTCAACGGCACCAAATAGCCAATATCATTGCAAATGACCTGAATTGTGGAACATCCGACCGAATTCAGCCTAGAAACAAATACGGAGAAAGTCGGTTCAGATATAGCTATAGCTTCTATATATATGTTTCGTCCGATTTGGTATTTAAGTTCCTCAAATTCATAATATGTATTCAACAACAATGATACTTGATAACAGATATTTTATGAAGCAAATTGTATCGAGAACGACTAAGGTTTGGATATATTTTAATCCCATTTCAGGTTTATTGTGCAAATACTGGCTAATATCAGCCCAAATGGAGTGAATTTCGGGGTGCACGTTTCCCTTAGTGCAACTCGGCTCCGATATATATCTTTTTAATATAAACCTTCTCCAAGTGATATCATGCACTCTATAGCAAACTATAACTGCTCTGAAGACAAATGTTGATAGGTGGCATGATCTACTTGAAATAAATTCTTTTGTTACGGGAGCTCTAGAAAAATATAGGGTATCCCATTCGTCTTTTGACGTTTCCTCACTGGTTTTATTACAAATTTATACATTTGTTGATATAAATGAAAGTAAAAAACATTAACCTAGCTCGTTTTTATACCCTACACCACATAGTGGTAAGGGTATTATGTCTTTGTGCATTTGTTTGTAACATGGAGAAGGAAACGAGATAGACCCATAGTTACTTTTGAGAACCTTCATAGAATCACTTTCTGAGTCGATTTATGCATGTCAGTCCGTCTGTCCGTCCGTCCGTCCGTCCGTCCGTCTGTCCATGTATTCTTGTGAACAAAATGCAGGTCGCATTTATTATCCGATTGAGATGAAATTTTTAAAACAATATTTTTTTGGCCCAAGGACGAACCCTATTGAAATTGGTGAGAATCGGATCAAATTTAGATATAGCTCCCATATATATCTTCATCCGATTTCGGGTTAAATGTGCACCAAATATCCACTATCAGTCCAAATTACCTGAATTTTGGCACACCCAACCGAGTTCGGCCTAGAAGCAAGTACATCAAATTTGGAGAAAATCGGTTCAGATATAGCTATAGCTCCCATATATATCTTTCATCCGATTTGATCTTTAAGTCCCTCACATTCCTACTATGCACTCCACAACCGTGATATTTGGTACCAGGTATTAGATGGAGCACAGAAATAGCTGTTTTAAATTTTATCGAAATCGGTTCAGATTTGGATATAGCTCCCATATATATCTTCATCCGATTTCGGGTTAATTGACCACCAAATGGCCAATATCAGGCCAAATGGCCCGAATTTTGGCACATGTGACCGAGATTAGCCTTAAAGCAAATACAACAAATTTGGAGAAAATCGGTTCAGAAACAGCTATAGCTCCCATATATATGTTTCATCCGATTTGGTGTTTAAGCCTCTCACATTCGTAATATGCACTCCACAAGAATGATATTTGGTACCAGATATAAGATATAGCCCAGAAATAGCTGTCTGTAATTTTATCGAAATCGGTTCAGATTTGGATATAGCTCCAATATATATCTTCATCCGATTTCGGGTTAATTGTGCACCAAATGGCCGATATAAGTCCAAATGGACTGAATTTTAGTACATCGGACCAAATTCAGCCTAGAAGCAAGTATGTCAAATTTAGTGAAAATCGGTTCAGATGTAGATATAGCAACCATATATATGTTTCATCCGATTTAGTGTTTTAGTCCCTTACATTCGTAATATTCACTCCACAACCGTGATATTTGGTACCAGGTATTAGATGGAGCACAGGAATAGCTGTTTTAAATTTTATCGAAATCGGTTCAGATTTGGATATAGCTCCCATATATATCTTCATCCGATTTCGGGTGATTGACCACCAAATGGCCGTAATAGCTTCAATTTTGGCAAATCCGACCGAAACCAGCTTAGAAGCAAGTACACCAATTTTAGTAAATATCGGTTCAGATATAGCTATAGCTCCCATATATATCTTTCATCCGATTTGGTCTTTAAGTCCCTCACATTCGTAATATTCACTCCACAGGAATGATATTTGGTACCAGATATCAGATAAAGCCCAAAAATAGTTGATTTTAATGTTATTAAAATCTGTTCCGATTTGGATATGCCTCCCATATATATCTTCATCCGATTTCGTGTTAATTGTGCATCAAATGGCAAATATCAGCCCAAATGCCATGAATTTTCGTACATAAGACCGAATTCAGTCCAGAAGCTAATACGTCAAATTTTGAGAAACCCAGTTCAGAGATAGCTATAGTTCGTAAAATGCACGATAGAATTAGATAGATTTTGATTTTGTACCAAATATCTCATAGAGCTCTGAAATGCCCTGTATAAACCTTTTTACGAGAGCTCTACTAAATATGCATAGTGGTGTAGGGTATCATATAGTCGGCCCCGCCCGACTTTTGAGCTTTCCTTACTGGTTTATTAATTAATTTTGTTTAAGTTTTGTTTAATTTAACCAAAATTTGTATGGAAGACTGTGGCTTGAGTTGCGTCGTCTCAAATTGCGTTGCTTTTTTCCCGTCCCATTGACAATGGGAACAAGTCGGGCCCCAATGTAATGGATTCGCTCAAAGATGAGAAAATAATGTCTATTATTTTTGATAGTAACCCATATCATGAAGTATAGCAACGACTGTAAACTTGTGTACCAACGATTTTGTTCAAATTCTGAAAAAAAATTATTATAATTTATTTGTTTCTTGTAAACTGCGAACATTACAAATATTCGAGTATAAATTGGTATTTTTATAAAATTTCAAAATTTTTTTTTATATCATTATTGAGCAAATTAAGATCCAAAAAAGATTTGTAAATATATTTTTTTTTAATATTCAAAAAAGTGTAAATTGCCACTTACAAGTTATTTTCAAATTTCTAAATTAAATTCTTTTCTACTTTTATTTTTAATAAAATTAATTTTTATTTTTTCAAAACACCTTGTCCTTTGTTTTCAACTGTCAATTTTTTTACTACTTCAACTAATTGTTAAAACCGCTTTTCTTAAACTTCTTTTTCTTCTCTAAATGTCTACTTCTTTTTATTCTTGTACTAAATTCAAATTTTTGAAATATTTATTTTGTGATTGTCTTTCTTTTTTTTCGGATTTCTTTCCATTTCTACCTCTTTCTCTTTATCTATTTATATAAAACACCAAAATCAAACTATACAAATATACCATTTTGCTATAAACTAAATCGGTCTAATTTTTGGTAATGTTTTTTTATGAAATATTTTCTTCTCTTTGTCTACTGTTTTTTCTCTCTTTCTCTTTTTTTCTTAATTCGTACAGCACCTGGTTCAGTACATGGACATCATCATCACACATCACTGCGCGAGCAATTACAATTTACAACTGCCATACCACAAACGACTGTTAATAACGCACCGGGCGCACCGCGGTCCATATTCAACAGATTGGGTATAAGAAAACCATCATTATTGAGCCTCAGCAGCCCCAATCCAGTACCTGGAGGGGGAGGGGCAGCAGCGCGTACATTTTCACTTGACGATCTGTTACGACCGCCTCCCCGACGTAAGATTAGGCTAAATTCTAAATTGAAAAATTAAACAAACAAGCAAACAAAACAAAAACAAAAACGAATGCAAAAAAATTAATTAACAATTAATTAATTAAATCACAATACCAGATATGAGTTGGCAATACTTTGAACTCTTTCAATTCTTTCCCCCTCTTGAAAATGAAAACAAGACTAACTCTTTCTCTTTTCTCTCTCTCTAAACACTAAATTTCACTCTCTCCCCTTTCCTTCTAATTGTACAATTTCACAATTCTGAAAAGAGAAAATCTCTACGTTAACACTCTCGGTGTCTAAATCCCATAAATGTACCCTTTCACTTTGAACATTACTCCCCGCACTATTTTTCTAAGTGTGTGTGTCTCTTCTTTTCCCCCATTCCCTGTAAATTTCTTAACCACATTTACTGACACTTTTAAGAATATTGTGTATACGTATATATTTCGAAATATCTAAATTTTGAATATTTTATCTTGAAAATCTTGATGTTGTTTTGAATACACTCTTTTTTATTAATATTCAATATAAAAATCTTTAAGCTTTGTAAACATAGTACGCATTGCACTCAGAAATTATTTCCTAATATGTGTGACATCACCCCAAATTTCGGCACTACAAAGTGTTTTTAACCCTTTTTGTATTTTTTGAAAAAGAATATATAAAAAAAAATTTTAGCCCCTTCGTCTATGAAATTGGAAAAACTGAAGTACAAAAATAAATCTTTGCAAAACCAAAACCAGGGGAATCAATCTAGTTATTTAGAAAACAAAAACAGGAATATTTTATTAAAAAAAATTATCAAACCTCCTGTGTGTTTCCAATTTAATAAATACAAGGTTTCGAAGCAATTTTTTTTTATATTTTTACATTTTTTAAACAGAAACAAACAAAGAAGCACAATTTCCTCCAGAACTAGGAACCAATTGGATTGTGCGGAAAATTAGGGAAAATAATGTTATATTTTATAACCTCCACCATTTTATTGAGGGTTTATTCACTTTGTCATTCCGTTTGTAACTCCCCGAAATATTTCTAATGGACCCTACAAAGTATTTATATTCTGGATCAGCGCAAATTTCTAAGACGATCTAGTGATGTCCGTCTGTCTATATGTCTGTCCGTCTGCCTGTTGTAATCTCGCTATCTTACGAACGAATTGAGATCGAAGGCTAAAATTTTGCATACATGCATGTAGTTTACCAGTAGGCAGGTTAAGTTCGTAAATGGATCATGTCGGTTCACATTTTCGTATAGCCCTCCCGATACCTCCCGATATTCGGTATTTTCATGATTTGTGCGACATTGTTTACCGGAATTGTAACAAATTTCGTTTTTAAAGTTCGTAATGGGTACTACAGCCTATGACAAACATTTTTGTGTGCAGGTCCACGTCTTCGTGTAGCCCCATATAGCGGTAGCTCCCGATATTCGGTATTTTCAAGATTTAAGCGACAGTATAAACCGGAATTATTTCAAATTTCATATTTAAAGTTCGTAATGGGTACTACAGCCTATGACAAAAATTTGTGTATGCAGGTCCACGTCTTCGGTACCTCCCGATATTCAATATTTTCTTGATTTTTGCGACATTATTTACCGGAATTATTTCAAATTTCATATTTGAAGTTCGTAATGGGTACTACAGCCCATGACAAAAAAATATTGTATGCAGGTCCACGTCTTCGTATAGCCCCATATAACGGTACCTCCCGATATTCGCTATTTTTACATGATTTTAGCGACATTATTTACCGTAATTATTTCAAATTTCGTATTTAAAGTTCGTAATGAGTGCTACAGCCTATGACAAAATTTCGTAAGCTGGTCCACGTCTTCAAGTTTTTTTTAAATTTTTCAAGTACCTTCCGAATGGTGGAGATTAATAAAATTTTGGCCTGGTCGAACTTAGCTGCTTTTTTACTTGTTAATAGTTTAGACTGTTGAATTATTTCAGGTTTTTGGGTACAAATGGTTATTTTCAGCCCAAATAGAAGGAAGCGAGATAGACCCATTGTTACTTCTGAGGATATTTATAGAATCACTTTCTGCGTCGAATTATGCATGTCAGTCCCTCCGTCCGTCCATGTATTCTTGTGAAAAAAATGCAGGTCGCATTTATTACCCGATTGGGATGAAATGTTGCAAACAATATTTGCTTGGCCCAAGGACGAACCCTATTGAAATTCTGATAATTGGATCAGATTTAAATAGAGCTCCCATATATCTTCATCCGATTTGGTATTTTAAATCCCTCACATGCGTAATATGCACTCCACAACAATGATAATTGGTATCAAATGTGAGATACATCCTAGAAATACCTCTGTTAAATTTTATCCAGATTGGATTAGATTTGGATATAGCTCCCGTAACGATTTCTGGATAATTGTGCGATATCCATCCTAATGACTTGAATTTTGGTACATCTGACCGAATTCAGTCTAGAAGCAAGCACATCGGGTTAGATGTAGCTGTAGCTTCCGTATAACAACAATTATACTTGGTACCAGATATGTCATAAAGCTCGGAAACACCTTTACCAAATTAAGCCCAAATGGAGCGAATTTCGGGACGTACGTTTCCATTTGGTGGAACTCGGCTCCGATATAGATTTGGTTATTATCCTACTCGAAGTGAAATCATCATATAGCAATGTTATGTGGTATAAAATAAAAAAAAAGTCTCCGTCAAATTTAGTGAAAATCGATTCAGAATTTGATATGCCTCCCATTAAGTAGTTCCCTCTGAAACCAAGCTGTTCTAAGGCCAAATGTTAATACTTGGTATTATTTACTTCAAATAAATTCTTTTTTACGGGGGCTCTACTAAATATGCATAATGGTGTAGGGTATCATATAGTCGGCCCGCCCGACTTTTGACTTTTTCCTACTGGTTTTAAATGTTGTAGTTCATTAAGATATTTTAATGAGCCAAAAATTGAGGAAAATTACAAGAAAACAGTTAAAAAGCTTTCCGAACAATCTAATTTTGGGGAACTATTTCACAGTTTCAGAGGAATATTTAATTTAGCCTTAGCAGTTCCTAGTTAAAATTGTGCTATAATTTGTCAACATTACAGCAATACTTATACATTTAGGACTTCTCATTGAAGCAGGTTTTAAATATGCCAAAAAAAAAAACAAATTACATTTGTTACGAAACCAAACGTTACAGCAATTGTATGTTTGGAAAAAAGAAATTCAGCCGTTTTCGACACAAAACAAATGCATACACATACCCATTGCGTTAGAGCGCCTTCTCCTGTTACCTTTAAAGTTAGGACACTATTGCCATGCACCAATCCACAATAACTCTCCTGCTTGTTAATGGATGACCCCCGCCCTTGTTCCTTCACACACCCAACTGATATAACCAACAAGACCCTTAAAAATATCAGAACAATTTGCACTAACCAACAATGTAAAAATTGCTTTTTGCACCTGCTTAATACCCCACCCCTGATACGAAAAATGATAGAACCTGGCGTACGATTACGTTATTCATGATTGTTGAAATCCTGGATTTAAAATAAAAGTAGAACGAATATAATGTTTATTCCAAAAAAAAAAAATTAAGTAATATTTAAAATCACTGCGTTTTTATTAAAATATCGATATCTAATTAAAAAAAATAATTTTAGAATAATGAATAATATGTTGGGGAAAAGAATATTAAAACGGTCAGATATGGAATCTTAGCGTTACAAAAACATAGAAGTTTGAATGCAGTTAAACTTTACTTCCAAATATTTCGTGGTGTAATTTGTCTAAATATAACAAAGAACCTTTATAAAACGTGGACAAATAGTGGCAGCAATTTAATTAAAAATAATACTTTTAATATTAAATATTGAGTGAAATATTTTTTTCTAAATATAAAACGAAAGCAGATACTGACAACAAAATTTTGGAACAAAAAATACAAATTACATGTTGAGCTAAGGAAGTGGCAGTTACATTTCAAAATCGGTACATCGTTTAAAATGTCACAAAAGTCTAATCGCAGTCCGATTTGCTTCAAATTTTCATTATGTTTTCTGCTACACCTTAAGAGGGGAAATCAATGTTCACTTTTTTTAACAAGGTTCAAAAATTTCTAAAAAAAATACAAATATCTCGGAACGGGCATCTGATGCGCTCCAAACTTTATTCGTGGTAATATTTTACCGGAGCGAGGAGCAAACATGGAAAAGATTGGCCTTCTGCTTCTTGTGTCTCCCCCCAAATGTCACAATTTTGAATAAATCTGCGTTCGATTTTCTTCAAACTAGAGTATCCCAGTATTAGAATTCGAATAAATGTATGATGTATTTGTCTACTCTCATTGATCTATCTGCTTGCTTCAGACCTTGTTTAAAGTTGGGCCCAATATTGGACAATGGACCTACATACAATTCTTTTATACCTTCCACCAGGGTAGGGTATATTAAGTTTTTTATTCCATTTGTAACACCTCGAAATACACATTTTAGACCCCACAAAGCATATATATTCTTGATCAGCATAAAATTATTTGTCGATTTAGCGATGTCCGTCCGTCTGTCCGCCAGTCCGTCTGTGGAAATCACTCTAGCTTCCGAATGAATTGAAGTAGATTGATAAAATTTTGCTCAAATATATTCTATACCTCCAGGACTTTTGGTATTGCAAATGGGCCATGTAGGTCCACGTTTTGGTATAGCCCCCATATAACGGTACCGGTCCCGATATTCGGTATTTTGATGATTTTAGCGACATTATTCACCGGAATAGTTTCAAATTTGGTATTTAAAGTTCGTAATGGATACTACAGCCTACGACAGAAAATTGTCTGTGCAGGTCCACGTCTTCGTATAGCCCCTATATAACGGTACCTCCCGATATTCGGTATTGAAAAGGAGGGTATATTAACTTTATCATTCCGTTTGTATCATTCTTAATATTTGTCGTAGACCCCATAAAGTATATATTCAAAATCAGCATAAAATTCTAGGTCTATTTAACGATATCCGTTTGCC